AACTCAAACCGTCTGAATATTTCCTATAAATTTCCGGCTGAACATCCCTAGCTTCCAGGCCACATAGCCGGCCTGTTATTCGTTAATCAATATTGCTTCCAAGTTTAAGGCTTTCCAATTAGTCATGAGCGTTCGGTTTTCACTTACAGGAGTTGTGAGATGTGAGTTATCCGCACACTGACCGATGTTAGCTTTGAAAGTCGAGGATTTTGGGTACGCAGGGCAAGTGAATGCCACATGTGCCGATTGTAACAAAGAACAAATGTTTTCCCATTCACTTGTTCCCTTGGGCGAATTTGCTTTTTGCTACTCTGATGCCCATTTTATCTCCCACTATAGGTTTCTATTTCATTTTTTATTATTCCCTTTGTGGGCAACCGGCAGATAGGAGAATCTGATTGGTTCGAAATGCTCTCCAAGTGTTTTGATGTGGCTGGCTGATTTATTCACCCGACTTAACGAACCGATTGATCATCCACCCAGTTTTTCCCAATGATCAATCGTTCCCTTCCCAGTGCAGCAGTTGTTAGCTGCTATGGCCACTACTACGGCAAGCAACCGGCATTTGGAGAGTTGCACTCCGATTGGGCAAAGTTGCTACTCCCTGATTGGTCCGTTTCGCACGTTCATTTCACGCCGCTGTCAGCAAGGTCGGACCCACCAGTTAGTCATTCGTACAGCGTGTCAGTCTTGTTACACAAGAGAGCGACAGAAATGATGTTAATTCAACTTCTCAGCAAATAATTTCCACTGCATAGTAGTTGAACACCAGGCATGAGCTCCAAGGAACTTGCCTATGTCGTCACTTTTATTTTGCATCTTTTCTTCGTCGTTTGCGTTGATTTAAACCCGGTGGACACAAGCGTCCCATTTGTGTTAGATTCAAACCCATGTATATTGGATCCATCCATTTGTTTTCAAGTTCCTTCCGCACCACGGAACCTGCGATTAAATCAACTCAGGCGAGCTCTTCCTCCCGGTGTAAAAGATCCGAAAGCAGCATTCGCAGTTTTGGAGCTTGCATGGGATCCACCAGAAAGAAGTCATGGTGATCTTCGCGGCTACCAAGTTTCCCATCGCCTGGTCGGACCACCAGAGGCATTTTCTCCAGCCTCTTCGGACGGCGACGGTGGTTTAGCAGTTGAAGTAAAGCCACCTAAACCAATCAGACGAAATGTGACGCAAACTGCTTACACATCCACAATCTCGGATGGAATACGTAAGCACATTGGTTTTTGGGCTGCTTACACCACGAATAGAGTTTTCCATCAGATATTAGATAGATTCGCCTGTAAAGGACACCAAACATGTGGATTTTGCATGTAACCACTTAAGGCGACCCGATCGATTAGGTTTTACACGACTTCTTGGTGTTCAAAACATTAGCCGGGTCGAACGGACATAATACATAAACCAATTAGCCCATGAAACAGCATGCTGGATCGCTATGAGTTATCGTAGTGAGTTCATGATTTTTAGTTCTTCAGTGTATCTTCAAGTTCATTCGTTAGTAACAAACTTCCGCCATCAGCTAGCCACACATTGCCACATGTTTTACAGCCGGCTGTCGTACGGTTTTAAGTTTTTTATAAAGCATAGTTATCTGAGGTAGACCTCAGTGAGAGCATCATGACTTCACTCTAATTTCAATCGTTATGTAAGCTTGTCAACCTCAGCTGACCAGGTTTTGTAGGACCTGATAAGACAATTTAAGCTTTGTATGACACTGGATGTCATTCACATGGTGCTAGCAGCACGAACTTGGCTTTCCCCAGCACATTTTTGTACTGACATGGTGGTCTACGATGCTTTCCACCATGAGAATTCTTTATTAAATTAATTTCACAAAATATCTGCTACCTTGCCGAGTTACTCTCGAGGATCTTGAAGGCATACCATTATATTTTCAAACGTCCAAAATCCTGAACACATATTTCTTAAACAGTAAGTTAGTGATGGAAACACCAGAAAGTTCAAAAATGTGATAATGATCGAAATATTTTGGTTGATTATTGTTTAGGCCTTTTAGAAAATTGAGAAGAGCTATCACTTTACTTGCGTGACGTACCTCCAAATGGATCACTGCATCTCTCAGGAATCTATATACCTAAACCATCTACACTTTTACAAAAGGAAGAGATATTTATGCATAAGTGGGTCTTATTTCTTCGAGGGAATGCTACATCAAAAAACACCCGACCAATGACACTTTTGTACACGATGCCAGGGGTTGGTCATATTTCGGAGGAGGTTATCTTCTAAAATTTCCCTCCATAAAGCACTTTATCAGCGCACTGTGTAATGATTTGTTCGAAGTTGTAATTTCAGGGAAAAGGAGCGATGATATCCTAACTGAAGAACTAAGGAGGCACTAAGCTAGAAAGTTTGAAAACCGCTGATTTTCGGTAAGTGTAGTATGACCAACAGTCAGGCCAATGTGTAGATAGTCAAGTTTTCCGCTGAGCTTTTCAGCCACGTTGCACGCGTCTCCTCACCCATGGAGGCGACACCACTATTGTGCCCTTTTGGCATTCACCATCACCAACACAACGACCCGAGTGACTAACATTTTCTTCCCAATCCAACCATTTCGGGCGCGCAACACGCAAACACTCTCGTTGCTGAGAAAATTTCGTCTGTAAGCAGGCTTCTCCTAACTATAATTCCTCCAAGAATCCTTGAGCACAATTCACAGCCCAGTGTGAAACCGTCCGGATATCCCAGGATAAGACGATACAGTATAGGTATGGTCAAAATAATGATAATTGATGTCAGTGTGTATTCCATCAAAAGGGTTGCCATTTTATCTTGATAAAATGGCTAAATTCACAAGTTCTATTTTCTCCGGATGAAAAGTAAAGCAGCTTAAAGAAAAATGACAAACTGTACTTAAGTTACACGGCATAATCGCGATCAGCGCCTTACTACTTTCTTGTCTTCATTGATGGGTTTAATGTACAACCTCAATGAAGTTATTTAATTTCCTGCTGAATTTATGGATTCAGAAAAAAGCACCTCAACTTCGCATTGATCTCCAGGATTCTTTTCTGGCTGCATGAAATCTTAATGTCCCAATGCTAAATTTACTTTGATTCGTCTCNTAAGTTACACGGCATAATCGCGATCAGCGCCTTACTACTTTCTTGTCTTCATTGATGGGTTTAATGTACAACCTCAATGAAGTTATTTAATTTCCTGCTGAATTTATGGATTCAGAAAAAAGCGCCTCAACTTCGCATTGATCTCCAGGATTCTTTTCTGGCTGCATGAAATCTTAATGTCCCAATGCTAAATTTACTTTGATTCGTCTCGTCAAATTAATCAACACAGCCAAGCCATGCGCTTACTATAAGAGCATCCATTTGACTTACCCTATAGGGGACGGTCCTAAACAGATTTGCCCGCGGCACAAGAATACGTATCATTTAACAAGATCATGCTAACAGTTCTCTGTGATTGATACTGTCCGGACAAACTTCAAAGAACCGTCAGGCAACTGGTTTTGAAGAGCCAGCCGCATCAAGGTTTTCAATAGAGATTTGTACCTGAAAGGTAAATATCCGAACTCCGGACTACTCGTGTGTTCCGACCGGGCAGCGGCGGATGTCCAATATAGCAAATTAGTAAAAACGGGGACCCTTTTATAGCCATTCTGAAACGACAACATTTTTGGTTGCTTTCAAGCCTTGAGCACATAAGACGATCTGGTGCGCTGGCCTATAAGATAAAAAAGCTAGCCAGTTACATTGCAAATCTAGACTTTGAAGAGGGTTTTGAAAACCCACTACCCCAAAGGTTGCTGAGAATTATTCGGAAGCCTTGCGAGGGGCCTCCTTCAAGAAAACACGCAGTTAAACCTCGAATATAGTACCGACTGCAATACGAGGCGTGCTGTACAGCACTTTTAGTTGAAGAATATCAGAAACAAGACATCGAGTCGGGTTCATTTAAATCCTCTGTTAGAACCAGATTCGTGATCATCTTAGTGTATTCTGCAGTGAATTTGACATTTTGCTTGAACTAGCCCTGCTATCGTCAAGATTACTTTGGTCTAGAGAGGCATTCCACTATTCCTTCAGAGGCTTTGTGGTTTTATCGTCCATATAATGCATTTCAGTTTTGCAAATGTGAAAGGTTTACGTACGTAGGATGGTTTTCGATCGCCTGGGTGTGGCAGTAGGAATGTAAGATAGACGGAGCACGGAAAAAACATTTGGAAAGTAATAATACGGAGCAGCAGACAGGCCAAGAGACACAACACTGACTCTGTTTGCTCGACACCAACATCGTGGTGAATATCTTCAATCATTTATGTGGGGAGTTTTTGACGACTGAACCCAGTGACGACATGTACCAGAGCAGCCAAGACCCTTTGATATGTTCATCATTCTCCGTCTAAATTTCATAGGATGTCCACCTTGAGTCATCTTTAAATCAGAACTTGACTCAACAAACAGGACATCGTGAGGCGAGTGACCACCTAACATACGAAGCAAAGTCCGCGTAGTTGGCACAGCCAACTCAACAGGATGATTGGACCAGCAGTCGGTTTTTTTGCTGAAGCAATTCATCGCACTTCAGAATTGCTCACATGATGTTCCCACAGTCTTCTTTTAGTGCCTCACATACACCGGTCGCAGAAGGTGGGCAATCTCTTATATTAAACGCAAGACGACCAGGTTTATCAGTCAAGAAGTGAGACTGGATGCAATGCAGCATTTCACCGACAAGCTTATTTTAAGTTAACCTCAGAGGTGTCTAAGTTGAAAGAAATCAGAATCGGCATTTACGATTGTACAATTTACTTCGACGGTAATACTACCCTTGAAAGTGATAGAAGTACATGATTGGTAATTTAGTTCAATAATTCAGATGGGTTTGATGCCACAACCAGCTTAGTTGGTCCGTTGGACCAGCCTTATGATAAAGCTTTGCACTTTGGAAGTCCAAGAGGATACCAAATCGATATTAATAATATCTGTATTGTTTAGTGAGTTTAGTATTTGGATGAAAGTTGAACCAAGTAGTACAGTAGCGTCCGCATGCTCCAAGTCTTTAGGATCTACACAGGGGAGAAGCTTTACGCCACAGATAGAAGACAGCGAGCATTTCTCCGACGAATCGTTCGATTTTAAAGTAGAGGGAAAAAGTTGACAGAAGGCAGTGAATAACAAAGTGGTAAATAGTCTGCTTAGGAATTGGTAAAAAACCACGGGATTTTGGACTCCGCACTAGTGTTCCAAAAGGATTGTTTCAACAAGAAATCACCGTCTATAATAAAATATCGTGTGACCTGTCTCAGTATTCTATTCCATATGGTTTACAGGGGCCAGGAAAATCGGTGTTCACGTATGTACCGAAGATTTATCCTTTTGACAAACAGAAGTGGTCAATAAACAAATGATCACCGAAATCGCCAGCCAGAACAGGAATATCTGTGTCATCGGCTATCCGAAGGATTCTCGAACGTTTTTTATATAGAAATTATTTGGCACCATGAGTGCCGTATGTTGTAAGCAAAAAGAGTAAACGCTTTCCGAACAGACCCAGCCAGTTTGGCTCCTCACAGTTAGTCATTCACATAAATCGAATCGACAGGGAGATCTCCCAGTGTCATACCAAAAGCTATTTCCCTACCACTGAGACAATTGTGAGCCTCTCTGTGGTCACATGACAACTGGGACGTAGCCCGTGCACAAACGGAACTGGTTTGGGCCGAGTACAGGGGCACGAATTGAGTAAAGACCTTCAAAGACACAGCACACATCAATCTTTAAAGGAGAAGATTTATGGGTGAAGGAGGTCTGCTGATCTTTTTGACAGAATATACAGATATACTGAACAGATTCCTTGGTAGTACTGGTGAATACCCGGCTTTCTTTTGGTGATAGATGACACGGACCCCATGCCATCAAGCAGTGAATGAGATGAATCGGTGTGTAAAAATGTTACTCTATTTTTCACGGTGAATCAACTCGCTCAAGCGAGAAGCTGTGAGTAGGAATTCCCTGTCTTTGGTCAACTGGGTCAGCCACCATGAAACCAACAAACACTGCCTTGCCTTATAGACAAATGATGGATTTTGGAGCGACAGCATAAACAAGATTTATGGAATGAGCGTTTTTCCTACCCAACCTTTGAATAAATGCGTATCCTTTTCTCGGAAAACTACGGTCATCCTTAGCAAATTTACTTGGTGATTATCCCTTCATTTGTTGCAACTTAAATTTTACGATTCAGTTGCCGCTGATTACTCGGTTTCATGACCGTCAGTGTAATTTTACTTATCAATCTACATTAGAACTTACCTTAGTATCTATGTGATGCAAGGGTAATGTGTAGGCTTTCAGCTCACAGTTCCAGTCAGAAGACGGACGCCCATATGTGAAACGACAGAAAGGCAGTTTTCTATGTTGACTAATGAAATACTTAATGGCCTTTTTTCGGGAGAGATCTTCCCTCACATTCTCTGAAACTTCGCCTCTTTCGATCATCTACCACAGCTAACTTTTAGTTTACGAGCATTTCAGCTCAGATGTGCATTATTCACAGTCTGTGTGTCCAAACCCACATTTAACCCCGTAGCCCGCCACAAAACTCTTTCCAAAACAGACTGATTTATGACAAATATTCCACTCAGAAAATAACACAATCCAAAATTTTCTAGAACTCTGCTGACTATTTCCAACGGCTTTTCCAACAAAGGTACGAGCCCAACAATCGAAATATTCATCTTCGTTCTATATCTTTTTGTAGCGACTTTTCCTGCACTCCAGTAGGCGCTTTTTGGAACAACGCAATACTTTGCACCTAATCAAAGTGAAGCAAACCCTAAAATAAACCTGCTAGATCACGTGAACTTCACAGTGTATCACAGTTCACTTATCCTCTGGAAAACACTAGAGAGAGAAAACTGACTAGAATCTACACATAACTTTTGCTTACGGTTTAGTACATATTCTCTGATAATAATATGGCTTCTAAGTGAAATAAAATTACTGCGTTAACGAAATGTAGTTTGAAAGATCAAGGTCAGTACTATTGCGCCTTCTCAAAATATGTCAATTCAATCTGTAATAATATATTGCAATCAGAAACGCTCGGTGAATCGTGTGTGCCAGAATTTCTTCCAATAAGAAGGTGAGGAACTCAGGCGAAGAGGCACATTAGTAACTGTTTCCCCTGAATACTTCAATAAAAGCAGGGAAACTGTTGACAGATCAACCAGGAACTTTGAAATTCCGAGCTGCTTAAGTGTACAAGCATCGGTAGATATTAGGTTACTGGGAAAGGATGTTGGTGATAATGAACGAGCGGAAGAAATCGTATGAATGGTCCGCTCTCACTGTGCGCGCTAAGCGATTTGCTCCAGGAATGTGCTAAAAGTTAACTTAATACTGTGAACTACTTCATGATTTAACGGCCTCTTAACAGTACACAGACATGGTCCTCAAAGTGTATTTTGTCTTCTGCTCACTTCGCTTGGATGAAACAGCAGACAGTGTTGTAAATAAGCTAAACAACAAAGGGGTGCGGGTGACAGTAAGACAACTACCTCATAACTGTTGAATGCGCCCAATGAAAGGACTCGTGCAAGTGTAGAACTTTAAGGCGCTACCGGTTGAATGCCACTCAAAGTTCCACAGTGCGGCTCTCTGTTTGTCCTTTAGGGGTTTAATAAGGTCATAACTGAGGTTTTTCGCTCTGTGGGACAACATTGCCGCATAATATCCGATTGGCTCACTGTAAGTGGCTCAAAACTGAAATCGTCTATGTGCCGATAAAGTAATCTGGTTGGCCAAAAATTGGGCTAACATTAGGACAAGATCTATGATTCGTCTGGGGCGAAACCTAAAGAACAAAATAAAAAATAAAGCAGTAAACCGTTGCCAAACCTCATGTACCTTGTCTCCCGCCTAATGCCAATCACGATACTGACTTGACAAATGAGTATATTTGTAACCTGATGATGAGTTTCCTGACCAACTAACAGACCGGGGGACATTAGCGAGTACAGATTACAAAAGAAAATCCCAAATAATCTTGTGTGTGTCCGGTGGCCACCGCAGAGAAATTTTAGTGTTGAACGAGCAAGAGCCCATTTTGCTTGCAAAGCAAATAGGTTCCCCAAGCAGCGATGAGGTTCAATTCTATGTTGGCAGCCGTCGAAGAACCCACGCTCTTGGTCGATATCCCTGTTTTTTTAGGGATAGTAGTGCAGAGTTTGAAAAAAATTTAGTGTAATAAGCTCCGGTTCTCTGTGTAACCTTACTCCAGCCAACTATTTGGCCATGAATATATAGTTCATGGAACGTCCGTGGTTCCTTTTTGGCTCGTAATTTGGTTAAAAGAAACGAACACCTTAAAACATAAACTAAAATGGCGGAATCAGTGGATCGGTAAGCCAATCAGCCCCATCAGCTTATCTTTGAATCAAGCTGATGGCGCGCATGGATATGGTTTATGCACCTAGGCTCAGTCGATATGCTTCTACAATTGCTCCATAGATTACCACGCATAGTCAAGCCGTACCACATAATATGCTTGAGCGTTTAAATTTAAGTAGCCTATTCAAAACTTATGGTGTAACGGTGTACACTACTAATGAGGCATGTGTGTAGTACGTGACCCTGTCGAAGCCGCACCGAGCGTCTAATAGGAGGATCATCAGAATCCGGGAAGCTGTGGACTAGGGTCGCGGAACCTGGGCAGTAATTGGCAAGGCCCAATGTTCGTTACCGGATGTTGGGGAAACGTCCATACAATTCAGGACGGTCAACGATCGAAAACAATTAACGGTACTCCGCCTCAGAAGTGGCATGATGCACCTGAAGAGCTGCCTAATAGATCAGCTGCTGCAGCCGACCCAACTGGGGCAAATGGACACCGGTGGCATGCACGCGATCTTTAAGCGGAGCAAGTGTGTAACGGCGTATACTACTGATGAGGCACGCGAATAGTCTGTTGTCGTGTCGAAGCTCCGCCCCCCTGTCTAATTGAAGGCAAAGTTTATTGCGGACCTTATGGAACTTTTCAGAATTAATTTACAACTGCTTTATGGTCAATGAATGTCCATGAAATCTCCAGAAGACGCGTGAGAGTGTGCAGTTTTTTTGAAAAATATGTGCAAATGAGACGTTTGCTTCCCTATCCAGTAGCTTGAATTTACTTAGTTGTTGTTTGCTAATAAATGACTGCTGCGAAGACCTTCGTCCTTTCATTTGACGCGGGGTGGAGCTACGACACGACCACAGATTACTCACATACTTCATCAGTGGTACTGCTAATAATACGTATACTTATTGCAGTATTAAAGTTTTCTGAAATGTACTGATGACAGCAAGGATATGGATCAATGTCAAATATATATGCACGTAAGCAAAGCATCGTTCTACACAAATGAAAAGGTTCACCTTACTGCTCACGATGTTACTTTTATTGTGAACTTGTCCATTTTCTGGAAAGCTAGATGATGAAAATACTGTAAAGTAAAGAACTCAGGAATGCAAAATCCCCTTAAGTTGCGTTGTGTTCGCAAGGACTTGAAGATGTCAATTAACACTACGAATAATGTGTCATCTGGTACAACCTTGTGCAATAAGTGTCCCTGTAGCGTGGCTGTTTGCAACAAACTTGCCCACCTACTCACAAAATTACCCTGTTGCCAGAGCCATATCTTCGCTATTAGTCATCCGTATCTACTCCGTACAGTCAGTTAAGCCGAAACTTCTATCTGCTGGTTACAAAACATACGAAGATTTAGTAATTCCCCGCGTATGCAAGCTCTCCGCGAATCTCCACCGAAAATGACCAATTTTCATGTGGATCAGCGAAGCGATGCGGAGGAAAATGGCACCAATTTTCCTTACATCAGTCATAAGGTGAAGTTTGAGATACCTCAGTCTTTAGAACACGAAGCTACTGACATAAGTGACCCATGGCTCAAGCCTAACCCCCTCATATCGACTGCCTGTGCCTAGGCTTGCGCGAAATTGTAGTATTGTAGCCCTCATACGTGTACATCAAAAGTATGCTACAACTTAATGATCCGAATACCTACGGAGCTTACTAGGCAGGCCATAAAATTAATGCATCTGATTGTGGCTGCCCTTCGTCTGTCCACCTCTGGCATGTACCACTTTTCACTGCAGAGGCACTAGAACCATATGAAGCAGAACCCTAAAAATTCCCTCTCTTCATTTACTGATAATTCCTGTGAAAACTTGTATCCCAAAAGTTCCTGAAACATTATCAGGACAAATCTAACGATGGGGGTAGCAGAGAAATGTCTCAGCAAGAAAGTAGCACACCGCATCGCCTCTCACATTAGAATTACAAACAAATTTCATAAACTCGGAGGCATCTTGGAAGCTAAATCTATCTAATCTGGATATCACTTGCTCTTGGAACTTCCATAACCACTAAAAAACCTCGATTTAGAAAGATCTGGTCATTTCTTAAATAGGGCGCAACGGCAATTATTTTCGAACCATCTTCCGTAGATCCGTGCTTTGGTGAAACCTGCTACTTTCCGAAACCATCTTATCCATCTGCCCTTGTACAGAAAGCCTTCTTTCTTTTTTATCTGTTACGATTTCTATGAGTTTTGTGGCCTAGCCTATCAGAAAATCTTCATGGATCCTTTGCTTTTTGATGAAACCGGAATGACGCTTCTACTGAAGCATCATACTTGGGTGAGTGAGTTTTTCAAACACCCTTCGGAACCACGTCGTAGAGCAATTCGTCCGACCTGTCTTGTGCATGGCACATTACGAACTGACAATGACCGCTTTCAATCCGATCAGAGAATAGGCAGTTAGCCGGTTTCATAAGCTCAAAATTCTTTGCATCATCTCCGAAAACAAATATCTTGACCCAGTTCAAAATAAGCTGCAACGCTGAGAAGCAAATTTCTGACTTAAAATAAGGTGTAAGCCAAAGTTTTCGAAAAAGTTTGGTGATTTATTGCTTGGTAACGTTTCGCTTTTGACACAAAAGCTTCTTCAGGCCAAGTGACTAGGCTCTGAGATTGGTCGAGATTTAAGGCGGAAGCTAAATCTCTGTTGGGTATCGGCCGAGGGATTTTAGTGTGTTAGACTGGTTGAACAAGTGTTGGGTCGGTGGGGAAACCCACATGTGTTTGGGTCCAGCCTAAAGTCTAGTTCTTTTGGTTTGGTTCATTTGATGGTTCCTCTTGAACTTCGTTTGAACCTTCTGTCAGTATGTGTGGGTGAGCTAGTGCCAAGAAAGTTGTGTAAGAGGAATGCTGTGACCTTTGATCGGGTTGCGATTCCCACCCCCAGTTTTTGCTAATGATTCCACGTGGACTGACAACCACGTAGTCACGTGTCAACTCGGCTTATCTAAGACCGCTTTCCATACGCTCACCAGTTCCACACCCTCGATTCTATTCACACTATGATGGTTAGTAATTTCCACCGCCTCGGCTATCAGCCGCTGTGGTGTGAATCGCAGTCCCCGTCTTAAAACTTCAACATTCTCCAGATCCATTCTATGTCCCGTGTCTAAGGCATGTACCACCATCGCTGGGCCATTGACCAGCTTTTGGCATTCTTCTGCATTCCTTGTTGGTTCTTTTATCCTTCTTTTATGCTCATCAATTCTGGTGTGCAATTCCCTAACAGTTTGCCCTATGCAAACGGCACACTCGTTGCAGTTAATTTTATACACACAGTCCCCAGCCCTTTCAACCGGCAAGGGATCTTTCAATTGCGCCAAAACTGAGCGTAGCGTTTTTCCCTTCTGAAAAGCTACTCGAATGTTGGCTAAGTTTAACAACCTTCGAATAACGTCCGATGTTCCTGTTTTATATGTAATGATTGCTGTGCCAAACCATTCTTCACTGGGTCTAGATACTGGAGTCAATATCTTTCTTAGTTGACGCTAATTCAAACTCACTTGTTATCCCATTTCTTGAAGTTTGTTGGCAATCTCAATCTGAGCTGCCGTTCTGTTCATCTCTTCTGTGCACAGCGCTCTAACTCAACGAAACATCGATGAGAAAATACTGGCGTACACAAACTTTGGGTGTGCTGATAAACAGCTTAAGATGGTTCCTGTGTCTCTTGGTTTCTGGTAGATTGTACTTTTCAATTTCCCACCAAGGTGTCAGCTATATGTGCCAAATTACATACGTGATTCCCTAAGCTTCCGCTTTTTTTTACAAAATACCCTTATTATACTTGCTGTTTTAGAGATGGCATGAGTCAGATAGTTTTCAGTTTGTTTACTGTTGCATAAATACAGGTACCTATGGAAGTTCAAAAATTACTTGGCTCCTATATGAGGGTGTGGAGAAAGCTGAATTTCCCATGGTGAGTTTCCTAAACCGTGCACTCAGCATGCTATGAAACTAGTGCACCAGCACGGTACGCTCGCGAAATAACAGTCTGACTTGTTCTGACTGGAGAGACACGGATGAAAGCATCTGGATAAGACCTGCGTTCGCGATTCATACTGATGGATCCAAATTCTGCCCGTAAATGTCGACACGTTGCACGTCACCTAATCCTCTCTACCAGCTTGAGTTGCATTCAAGGTCTAACGCAGTTGTATGTTTTCTATTGAGCAAAACTGCGCACGTATACTGACGAGGTTCAACTTTTGACCAAGTTAAAAAAAGTCACGAAATAAGTCTGAAACTGGCATAAGATATCACCATGGAACATTGGGTATTGGGTATTTGGCGCCCGAATCTACTAATAACCCATAGAACATTAACACTGTAAGAATTTCCTGGAGGTAGAAGGTGTGAACAAGCAACTTTCTGTATTTCTTTAGGAACTGCACTCAAAAATTGGACTTAAAAGTTTGGTCGTTAGCTGCACTTTTCCTTTCTATATGAACTACGTTTCTCGCAACTTGTTCCTGAGCATTACACGGGCTAGTGCATGCTGCATAAGTGGCGCATTTGCTGTTACAGAAGACATTTTCTTCTCTGGTTACTGCAATTTGCTGAAAGAGAAAAAAATGGTAATATGGGCAGATCAGTTTAAGCAAAAGTGATCGTTATCGCTTAAGCTGCTGTCGACATATGAGCTATCAAGGCACCTGATTTGCATAAATTCTGTGGGAAAGCGGTCTGCTCATTTTCATCAGACAACATGTTATATCCTTTCAGTCCGTTGGGCAGACGGAACTTGATCCTTGGCGTCTGCGTTCGTGAACGCCAACGCTGTTTGTCCCCAATGAATACATTATAAAATGTAATTTCCACAAACCCATTATTTGTTGCAGAATTCATAGTCATTTTAAAGTATTTCCGCTTGCGAGGAATGAAAATTCAACTATTTTATTTCGTGGCTTGATGAAATTTGATAAATCCAGTGGTACTCACAGAGAACATCAACCTTGAGTGGAGACTTGAGGAGCACTGTGCGGCATTGTCATATTTTCAACATTACACTAGCACTGTACATTATAAAATGATTTGAACCCCAATCCCACCAAAATAAAAAACCTACTCGTGAGGTAATTGTCCACTGGCTGTATGGTCACGTTTCACTTATTACTTGGGTTGTTACTCAATCACAAAATTGTAGCCCATGATTTGAATGCACAGGCCTGAGTGAATTCTCTACCCATAAGTAGAATAAATCAACTAAAATAGAATGAAGTTTGTGGGGCTTATAAATAAGTAAAATTAAAGGTTCTCCATTACACTCATACTATAGAGAAACCACGAGCAGATCAGGAAAAAAACAAGGTACACCACGTTCGAATCTTCAAGCCCAAAAGTCGTCTCACTGCGTGATGTGAATTGGATGATGAGTGACATTCCAACCTTTCTAAGTGCTAGCAAAGCAAACCACTGATCAGCTTCCAATCATGGCCGAACGGTTTGCTTCTCAGCTACTAGCAGGGAGACTGCGAGTTCAATTCGCCTTGGCGATCCATGAGATATGCACGGCCGATGATTCCCAACACAAATGAAATAGCTGCAATGTACTTTGCAGTTTTTGACAACGAAAAGCATGATTTGGTTGGAACTGCTAAAATAACGTGACATACTTTACTAATTGTTTTATAGCAACCAATGTTTCGTTCGTACCTGTAGAATATGACTAGGTTATACGTCGGAAAATACAGAATCGCATATTTTACACTATCTTTATCCTCCAACCTGCGTTGTTGGTGTCACGTCTATTGAAGAATAAAATTAATGTGGCCAGCCTCGCGCGTGATCGGGTTTGCTGTACCATTGCTAACATGCTTTACGTCACCCTATTAACAGGTTCCTTCGGATGTTAGTGATAGGTTCGAATCAAACACCTATCTGGTGGTCCTAATCTATGGTTCTCATCTCTGCAGCATAGAATGATTGAAATATATAAAGCACTGATCTGACTGCATATTTGCGAAACTCGACAACACTCATAAGGTATGGGCAAACAGGTTATCTGTATCCAGAGAAGTATGTTAATGTTCACCGTTAAAGTCTCTGATAAGAATTGGCTCTGTACATACAGTACGACCAATCTAATAGGTGTAACATTTTGTGTAAGAATTCACAACAATGAATTAAGATAGGTGATTGACAACAGATCGGCTAATCAGGGGTTGAAAGTATGGTTTTATTGTATCGCCCGTTATCCGAACTCTTTATACACTTTCTCAGCCACAAAAGATTTGACAGATGCGTCAGCTGTCCGACTCTCCAGAACTTGATATACACGGGTGTGTATATATATACCTCGTAATACTTAAGAAAACGGTGTCAGCGTAGATTCCCAAAAATAACGTTTTATTGCCATCAGAGCGCATCTATCCTTTTTCAACGTGCTAAATATCAGTTTTGGAAGAAAATGTTGGGGAACCTAAGCGAGTTTGTTTTGTTTAAGGCCATAGCATATAACTACATTGAAAGCCAATTGCGAAGAGATTCTTGGAGTGTTATCTAAAAACAAACACCTCTTAATGTGTATATGACATTACAGTTGCCGCAGTTAAGAGATGCTGTTGCAATTTCTTGGCCGCTGAGGTATGTTTAGGTACCAAGTTCGACAGGGTTGTTTAGTTCATGAGCGGTTATAGGGTTCTTAGCTAGAGCTCTAGGAGATCTCTTCAATGTGTAACGGAAATAGACACCCTAATACGAAATATTATAGATGCGTTACCATTATATTCTATCGGGAAGTTCGAATGGCATAAGACTTGAGGATTTAACTTGTAGTTTGCATAACATTCTGCATGAAAATGAAGTTAACATGGGTCAGTAGAGCGACTTATACCAAATTCTGCTTCCAATGTTTAGGTTTGAAAAGCAAAAACTACATTTATGTGTGGTTGGAAATGGGTGCCATTTGAACAAAAATTAGCCTCCTTCATAACTCACCACCTAAGAGGCAAAGTAAAATGAGGTTTTGCATATTTATCGATTCAAACTCACATTTAAAAACATTCACATACCATGGCAAATTTTAGGTTTCGCGTTCTTTAAGTACTTTCTATTGTAGAAATAACTGATGAATGGTAAGATTGCGCCAACAATTAGGTGCTAAAAATGGACGTTTCTTGTTTCTCTTCAGAAGGACACATTTGTGCACGGCGCGGACTAACCGAACGTCCATCAATTTCTTCTTAAATGTCACTAGACTTTATTAAGTGATCATAAGTAAGACGGGATAATAATGTCAAACCCTAAAGTACCGTTTTATTGTGGCTCCCAAAGTCGACCAATTTATAGTCTGTGTAAGCCAATAGTCACGAAGAGAAGCTGTTTTATCTTCCAACAAACAACATCATATTCCAAAAAAGCCATCATTTATCACCTGGTCCTATGGCCGCTGGTCGATTTAGCAAACATCACCAGTGACTAGTTTTTCGGGGTCACCTGACCCATAACCAATGGCTGCACCAGAGCTATCAATAATTTGGTACGCTAACGCCGTTTCAGTCGTTTTGGCGGATCAACCCTCTAAAGCGAATTTTTTGTCACTTTAGGAAACTTAATTTGATCAAGATCTCCCGGAGTAATCGAGCGCTGTGTTACAAATGCTTAATTGTGGATAACAGGTGCATCATTTGAGACCTCTTTGAAAGCGATGACGTGAAAAAAAAAGATTTTAGTCAATGACACCCGGATGGAGATTTTGCTCAAATGCAGTGACGTACGTATCAGGAACCCTTCCATATCGATCGTGACCACAACTACAGTTAATATGGCATCGGCAAATTTACAAAAACCAGGCGGTCTTTTAAAGTTCGTCCATCGTCCCACCTTAGGATCCCCTAAGTTGAATTAAATTTACCGGGTCCAAAGTAGGGAAAGAATACGCTTGATCTGTTGGAACATTGCATAAATCACATAAATGTTTTTCAGTGTTGTGATTAAAACAGGACGGAATACCTACCTATGCGTGATGCGCAAGAGCTAGTTTGTCTCATTACGATAAGCATCACCTCATCTAATTAAACTGACCATGAGGTCAAATACACCACTTCGAGGAATCAATGCGGCCTTTACCATGGACAGGGTGACATGCGTAGAAAACTGAAGAGTGTAGAAAACAGAGTATACTTATTGGTAGTATGAGGAGATTCGAGAATTTCTGTGGTGATTTCGTTCCGTACTTGAAGCCAATCCATCCTGAAAAGCCGAGAAGCACTGTACAGATATTTCATCCCTATTGGGAATCATCAACAGTGTGCATCTCACGAAACTCCAGACAATCTCGAACCAGCGACTTCCTGGCCACGGGTGGCTGATCAGCGGTGTGATCAACTCACAGACAGGATAGAGCGCCGCTCATCCTCCACTCACAAAATCCACATCCAGTGTTCACAGGTATTGAAAAAACGATATGACTCTGCCAAGCAAATCACAAGCATTAATGACACATTCATTGCGAATTCATTGAGATGATGGTTGAAAAGCCCAAGTGGATACAGGAGGAAAGTGTTTAGATAAAACGAGAAAAGAATCGCACTTAATGGGGTGACGGGTGTACCATAGTAGAATGGCGCCGAGAATCTCATCGCCAGTGACCTACCTATTCAAAACTATATTGACTTCCTCTCTGTTTGGTCGTATAGGGATAGATGAGATTCCGTGGTACGGGAATTGATATGCACAGCAGTGATGATGAATAGTGATGGCGGGGAAAATATTGGAAAAGAAGCAGAGTTTGATAAAAGTGGACATTGGTTACATACATAAAGCACACAACAATTATCATCCAGATTTTGCATTTATTTCCGATAAGAAGATTATTTTTTAATATAAACGTCCATCTCTGCGCTTCTATTTTCCAAACTATGATTATCACACCACAATATCCACACGCTGGACAGACTGTTCGCTGTCCGAACTGGAATTCCATAGGAATCTTGGTGAAAAAAACGCATGAGTTAGCAACACATCCTTCACCCTCAAAAGGTTATTGAAGAAATTGTTGAGCGCTAGAAAATACAGAAAAGGCTTTTTGTCAAATCTGAAATCAGGTATAGCCTAATTATTTGTTCTATTAGTTAAGCAAAAAGAGCTTTTTTACTGTAATTTTTTGGTATTCTTTCTTCATCTACATAAAAGTATGACCTATCGTGCATCCATAGCTTGTTGTGATATTCATACGCAAAGTAGTTTGTATTTGGTAATCACCTGTGTCTATCTAGACTGGCCAGGGATTAGAAGTACTAAGCCGAGAGGGAATGGAAAGGAGAGATAACTAACTTAAAAATCATGCTGAGTAATCACGCGTCTTTTCTTACGAACCGCAACTTACCTGTTTGGAATATCTAAGTCCCAGGACAAAACCAGGAAGAACAATGTTTAGGGGGATCAAGAGAATAGGGGGCTGATAATTTGTTTTGCTATCACAAAACTATCGTCTACTTAGAAATATTAGAGGATGAACTGTCCAATAAAGAAACTCGGTAGACAGGTCCTTGGCTCATAAAGAGGTGTAAAACAACGGATTCAGTCGAAAGTTCCTCCACGAAATCATGATCTGAAAATGAAATAATTTAAAGAAAATTATATTTTTGTGGTGTCGGTATAATCTGTTTAACGTAAAACATTGTTTAAATCTCATATGATTTTTACTCACTATCTTTGTTCGGCGATTCCAATACATTTGTTACCTGACGAACACCAAGTTTGATAACAACCAAACCCTGCTACAGATTCTTATTTTAGCGTATATTTTCCAATACCACCAAAATCTAAGTAGATTTCGGCAGTTACAGGCATTTGACCAAAATCTGTTTATCGGTTTCGGAAAAAATTTCCAGCACCACACTTTTTATTCTTGATTTCAGAATTTGGACGTGTGTACCAGTTTGAGGTTGCAGCATTCAATGGAGTGGATTTGGGGCTGCCAGCGCAACTAAACGTCACAACACCCGAAGAAGGTACGTACTGGACGTGCTGCATGAGTGGCGATATCAGGTCCTAAACATTGTCATGCTAGCCCAATCTTTTGGCAATTTATTTTCACTGTTAAGCTTTCTAATCGCTGCTTCTGGTATACAGTGTTTAATACTTAGAGTATTTTTAACACATCTTGCATCTTACAAACGTAAACCTTACATTTCACATAATGATGCTGCTAGTTGCGCCATAATTAGTGTTAAGGTGGCAAACGGCCAACTGGAGTTTAAAGCATTTACCGTATCCCCGTGTGAGCCCAGCAGCTTAAAAATCGCTGAAAAAGGGTTATGGAACCGTTGTACGCTTTTTGCGTATGTTGCTGTAGGAACGAAACTTCTTAGTTAGTGCAAGATATTAATTCTGATGTAAACAAATATTTACACCATTCTCACCTTGTTACAATTCCGTTGAGCCATGACAAATCACACTCAGAGAGACCGCAGCCTGGAGATCTTGAGCTTTATTCAACTTTCCGAATTTCAGAAGGCTGCGCTATCACCAATTAACAACAGTTAGCAAGACATCTTTGAGCTGGATGAAACTGTGATGCCTGTTACGGTGAGCAACATAAGTAAACAAACAGGGAAGCATTCGCTGCTTTTCGAACAACCCAGCAGAACATGGCTGATCACCACCGAAGTGTCACTGACCAACAAAGAAGCTTTCAAATGTAGGGTAGACAACTTATTACAAAATTGTCAGCAAGTGAAGATAAGTAGCGTGCACGCTCAGTCAGATTTATTCCAAGGGTTATATCGAGTAATTCGAACACATAATTAAGGCTTGAATCAAGTGTTTTCGGCAACTCTGGTAAATTTGTGAGCATCTAAAACTTAATGGCCTCATCGTCATCATCATTCTTAGCTATAATAATCGCGTACTTGTCGTACAGTGGTCGTGGGTTCCACAGTTTCGTTCACCGTATTTCGGGGAGGTGAAGTAGTGAGATGCGCATCGGAGGAGGGAGCTGCTAAATTATTGCGTAAATACAGCACTGGGCTGTTATGTGAAGGAAAGGGAAGGAAGCTATGCATTGAAGGCAATAGCTTGGGTTCACGAGCATCATTGAGGGCGCAACTAGGCCATGTCTGATAATGTATCCAACCACTGATGTGGCCCGTCTCATGGTCTCCATCCCGGAAGACGACAGTGACCGGGTCAGCTGAGTTTGCTGGTAATGGCTTTTATACTTCTCTGCCAAGTCATTGTTTGACCACCTCTGGCTCGTTTCCACCCTTCACGTTGTTGTGTGAAAAGAGCCCTTCGAGGAAGTCGGTCGACTGGCATACGCAACACGTGGCCAAGCCAGCGCAACCTATGCAGTGTGATCAGTTCATCCATCGAGGTTAAGCTATTTCTCCCGAATACCGTTCGGCGAACTTCAGCACTGCTGATCCGGTGTTCCCATCAGATTCGGGCAATGCACCGAAGAAATCGATAGTCAAACACAAAAAGCTTTTGACGTCTTCGACAGTGGCCCGATTTCTGACCCATATAGAAATATGGAGCGCACCGCAGCATTGTAAACTCGACCCTTGACGGATTGGATGATTTCACGCCCACAGCACAGGTGACGCAGGTTCACAAAAGTTGCTCCGGCCTTCCCAATCCGGATGAAAATATCATCTTTCGCGAGACCACCGGGAGTGACACAGCTGCCCAGGTAAACAAATTTGTCTGCTACTACATTCGGTTCATCCGCAAGCATGAGGCTAGGGTTCGAGGCCACCCAGTCTAGCAGTAGCACTTTACACTTTGACGGTGTGAAGCGCATGCCGAACCGCCAGGCAGAATTATTTAGATTATTTAATATTGTTTGCCTTACCACGGGGTCAGATCCAAGAAGAGCTATGTTGTCTGTATACTCGATATCTGCGTAAGGACACCCGGGAGCACTTCGAACCCACAGGCATTAGAGGATGGTAGTGAGTCTTTCATAATCGCATCCATGATGAAGTTGAAGAGGGAAGGTGAAAGAGGACATCCCTGTCGAACACCTCTTTTTGTGGTGAGCTCAGGCAAGAGCTCCCCGTAGACCTTCACACGGCCACGAGAGTTGACGTACGGCGCCTTAAAAAGAGTCAAGAATTTATGGAGAACACCTTTGCTCCACATAATTTCAGCCTAATGATCTTCGACATGTAACACCCGGACAGCGAAAAGTGTCGACAGGAATTATAGTATAAGATACCAGCTGACCTCCATCTCAGTACAGGCTAGATGAAACCCATAACCAATGCATTGACCGTTGTGATTACATACTATCCTCTTGTCAGGGCGCGCCCAGACAAAAGAAAAAGTACATGTGCAGAGAGTGACGCATCCCCAATGTCACCATCGGTTCGACACGTCCGGAAAGTTAGGTGAGTTGGCGGCTCTCACCAAACGGCTTAGCAACACACGACCAGCGTAGTGGGCCTGAGAATGTTCACGACCGGAACACCATTGGCTGTGCGGAGCGAACAAGTGAACGACCATATTTGGCCAAGTAGTCATCCTATATATTTACGCAGACGTTCTGTACGTTTGGTCTTGGCAATACAGCCGTGTCCGCAGTTCTCTGTCTTCTCCTTATCGCGTAGTCTGGCAGGCGCAGTGCAGGCGTAACCCCATAGCTCGGCCACTGCATAATACAACACCTCTTCTTTTCAGTGAGCGTGTTTCACGCAACAACTTAACTTTTCCTCCCTGAATCTGTTTGTTAAGCGAAACTTCAGCAAAGATCTTTAGGAACAACCTGTCCGCATTTGGTTGAACGAAGGGTGATTTCTCTCATCGTATCTCACAAACACGTTATTATTTCCTCAACTTCACCACAAAAATCGATTGCACGCTGAATGCGAACTGCTTTCCGTTTGTTGTTTGTTTGCGCTTTATTGTTTGCGAAATGTGGTTGTACCTGGGGTCGGCAACAAAGCACACGTTTGGTTGGAACCCTCCATTCATATTGAATGAATAATATGTAATCCCCCGGAGACCGCCAAAAAATCCAAACAGTGTGCAAGTCAGTTGCTTAACAAAAAACCTGCTTGTATAGATAAGACGCAGTCTTAGTGAAATAGATTTTAACGGAATACAGAAAGGATTGGACATCAATTTTATCTAGATTGCGCATTACTAGCAGATTTTTCAGCCCGTGCTTCCTTGAGAGGTAGCAAGTGGTATAAGAATAAATAATTAGGATGCATCCAATGCGTTTGTTTTGCTGATAGAGTCCTAATTAAATGGTAACCTTTTTCCGTAACGACTGGAATTATTGTTTGACAATTTCCATGGGCATCTACAAAACATAACTTTTTTGAAACAGAAAATACAAATGTAAAAGTAAATGCTGAGGCCTCATAGATGATGCCAAACAGCATATCAATTATAAGAAATCAGCCCAACTATGCGGCAGTTTATATCATTTTTAAACACAAAAAAACTTATGAATCAGGTTACGTATTACTATCGAGATTAAAAGCCCAAACTTCGTGGGTACTGTATATCGGAATCCAAGATTCTGGATTAAACTACATGAAATAACTGATTTGAAGTTTCAAGAATCTTCCACAAGGTGACCCCATAAAATAATTTAGACAGTTTTTCACCAAAACGGAACGGTGGGCACAGTGTGATTATCTGAATCCTCCGGTTTTTAATAAGAATTTATTTTGAGTGTTAAACTCTTGATTCTTGGCAGTCGCGCATATCCTGCAGTGATTCATTGCTAAACAAACGGAGAGAACCAACAACTCTCCCATTTTGAAAGCGTTTGCCAGCCTACTAGATCGCCGCTATCACAGCAGATTAAGAAAAATTGCTCAGTATATCGCAACTTTAGTTGACAATCACATCTATTCTTCCACAGTAAGCGAGATTCATTTACCAGGTTACAAAGAAGCGATGGTTTGAATTGACAGAAGTAGTATCTGTCTTTAGAGAAATACACTCATTTGCAAATTTGGTTTTGCGGGAGACTCACCTGGTGGTACATTTTAGATTATGCATACACTGCACTTCACATCAGCGTGGGTCTTTTTATAATAGAAGGTAACGTTTTCTTTGGGTCATCTTGATCTCGTTAATGAGCTCATAAGTAATGGAGTCTGCTTACTCGCTAACTCTGCAGAATTGTGTGCATTCTCAGCCCACAACGTTGTTGATGTTTTGCCTTGCATTATATTTTGATAGCTTGATCTGCAGATAATGTCCGTTTACTGAACATTTTCAAGGTAGCATACCCGATCTCCCTAAACAAGTCCATATATTTCACACGGGATATTCAGCGTTAGACTAGCAAGCTTCAGAGCACACCCAATGAATATGCTGCTGATTTGTTATTTTCCTCCGTTTTTTTCTCTACTCTGATAATTCATGTTCCAAGTCCCTTCCCTCGGTTTGTTGGAGATCATCAAAAGTACACTTCTCACGAATCCCAAAAGGTTAAAAACCTACGATCTTCATGCCTTTGGTTGAACACCTAACTGTTTGGTCACGAGTGACTGATCGGTAGTGTGCTGAGTTCTCGCGCTGAAGGGACAGGAGGAAAGTTGAATTCCACATCCTGGCCAAAAAAGCCTAAATTTTTCTTTCACAACCAGAATTATACTTCAAGCGTTTGGTCAGATGCCACAGCTATATAAGGCTCATTGACTTTTCATCTTAAACTAGTTTAACTGGCAGAACGAAATCCATATTCAAGATTACATATTGTTTGACAAAATGTTCATCAGATCACTCAAAGTTTGCCTACCTCCCAGGGACAAATACACCTTAGCAGGGTCATTACATGTTAAGACGATCTTTTAAGAATTGGTTAAAAGTCCTACTTTACAAGAAAGACACACCAGTTTGGCTGTTATTATGGTTTGTGTGCCCTTGTGTGATCTCGTGATCTTGTGTGTTCTTCGGCACCCTGCACTGTTTTATTGCCATTTTTCCGACCTACCGCGAAGGACTTTGCTTTTTGTAGATTGAACCTTGTTTCCATATTATGGAGAGGGCTCATCACCAGACATAAACACGTCCACGCTCTCTTATACGAATCTTCGATTATTCCTTTCTGAGCTTATTAACTCACACAGGTTGAGACTGTTGACAACCTACCGCAGGGAAACTTCCATTCAATGTCTCTAACATACTTTTGGTGACAATGCTTGACAAAAATACCTCATTTTTCTATTTGCCTATCTGTAAGTCCACTTATCATCCGTTTATCATCCACCTAACTTCCACCACTTTTGCCAAGTATTCTACCCAACCACGGAAAAACACTGTTTCAACAGAACTCTACAAATGTCATTTGATAGCTTTAATCTTCATATTATAGTCACTCCGATACATGCTCGGAGCAACTGAACGGCCCAACACCAAATTTTTCACATGCAGTGTCGCACGTCCGCAAACACTGATGCGTTTGATTAATAGGCCACTCGGTATCGTTGTACGCGTATCAATGTATAAAGTTCCTTAACAGCACGGAATTTTTTACTTCACCAAAATTCTCATCAACAGTTTCTCACAAGGTCTAAAAATCTCAGTGTGCAGTGTGCTGCACCAAGCGTTTTCCTATGCAAGTTCAATTCGAAATATTCACTTTTCTCGCTCTAGAACTAAATAAATATTTGAAATCTGCGAACAAACCTGAAGCAAGTTTTTCATCGTGGTTCTTTAACAGGTTACGTTACGTGTTATACTCCAAATGTCGAATCACATTAGGTTGGCAGCCCAAGCCATCTTACGAATAAGAGTTATAAAAAGTAAACCCCACTTCAGGAAAAAAACACCTAATGGGTTGCGCGGTTTACGTCATCACTTAATAATCCCCGAGTTGGCTGTATTGATATAATTAACTCCCTCATAAATTTCAGTGCCCGAATCTTATCCACTGCAAGTTCGATTGAGTGGTCTCTCAGCCACGGCTATTGAAGTTACCTGGTCTCCGCCAATTCAACCTCAGTGGGAGGGTGGAATAACCAGCTATCAGGTGAGTACTATAATGTCGGACGTATTCATCAAGTGTCACAGAATCTCCCATCACGTGACCCGCAGTTTATCTATTGTGATAGGTGGTTACTTGCCTTAGCCCATTACGAACAAAGAGAGTTGAAATTTTCATGTGTCCACTTAATTTAGTGAGGTTCTGACGGAGGCAACGCGTGATGACTGAAACCTTGAGCAGTGAAATTAGTTAAATCGCTCATGTGAAATTGCCATTTGCAAGATACAGGCTTTTATAATTTTATTTGAAACGAATATGGGATTGACATTGTTGCTCATTGCAACACTGCTATCCCGACCGCTCCCATAAAACCTCCCTGTGCATTCACCTTCATTTATCTAGGTGCGGTATTTTCAACCAAATTCTCCCAATACAACTGAAGTTATCCGAACCACAACGGAACCAAGACTGGTCATCGAACATCTGAAGGAACGCACTTTCTACACAGTCATGGTTCGAGTACTGACAAACAGTGGTCCTGGACCGTGGTCCATGTCAAGCACTATTCAGACAACGGCTGAACGTAAGTTTACTTTGTATCACTACAACTGCTCACGTTTAGGAGAATATTTGCTCATTAGGCGAGCACCTTATCTAATAACCATAGTCCGGGATGTATGCGTGGGAATTCCCGTTTATCTACCAAGGAAAAATGAGTTGTTTGTCATGTTTCCTAGATGTACACGAACGGTAGCTAGGATGAACAACTGTTCGGCCAGCGCGCAGTTTTCCGACAGAGGATGTTCGCTGATCGACTCTGTTCTGGTGAAGTCTCTAATCCTTTTATCCGTTTAGTTCTAAACCGGTGTTCGGAAAAACTGGCTGAAAATCGTTTTGAATATGTTTTTATCCCATAAACATAGATTTGTGTCCTAGCAATCGTAGTAACCGTGTGAACTCAGGCAAGCACCGGTTGCATTGAGGGTTAACATTCTGTAAAAGCTTTTGGGACATCAGTTGCCCATCAATACCGTTGTACAATATTCTCGGCAGTACCCCGGATTGATCTGCTGAGCTTCTGCACTTGGAGTGTGGCAGATACTGGAAACAACTTAATGTCCATTAGGTTTGACAACAAATTCATACTTTCTTTTTAGGTTCTGGTTGTCTGTCACACCCTTTCTGTAATAAAATCATAAACCAGAATAATTGTGGGATTCTTTTGAACGTATCCTCATTTAATAATATTTAGCTTCTATTTCGCTTCTAGCAGATACTGAAATCCATTATCTAGAAAATCTGGAAACACCTGCCAACGATGATAATTCTGTAATCAACGCATATTTGCATTCGAAACAATCCTTGCCTTGATCAGACAAAACTGAAGGAGGCAGTTCAAAGCGCTTTTATTGCTGCTTATTATTCCTTTTATGTACCCACATTGCCGTGCGAAACAGCAGCATGAAATCTGACCCCAGTTGTATCCGTTTCCTATCGAACCGTTGGGGAGACACGTGATCTTTGCAGTGAGATGAGAGTCATGTTGGTAGTGTGAAGAGATTTGGGAATTTTTATGGAGATTTCGTCCTGTACATGGAGCCTCTCTACGCAAAAAGTCGGAAAGCACCGTACAACTGTTTCATCTTTATTGGGAAACCTCAGCGCATCTCACAAAACTCTGGAGAGTCTCGAACCTGCGAACTTCTGGCTAGTGGTTTGAACACCTAATTGTTCGGCGAAGAGTGGCTGATAGCATTGTGAATAACTCGCACTTAGGCAGGATATAGCACTGCTTATCCTTCAATCAGGGGATCCTCATCACGCACACTTGCTCAATGCTGATGGTCCCCAGTAAGGATGAAACTTCTTATCAGCTTTTCAGCACAGATTCGTTCCACTTGCAGGCCGAAATCTCCACAAATATAAGAGCTATGTTAATAGTTTACTATTTAGGCGAAGAGTGACAGCTTACGTATCAATATGGTTTGAGAAGCAAAAATCTTGGCACATCTATAGCTCCGACCTATCTATTTTCCCCGTGTCAGGTTGAGTAAACCACCATTGTATCGCGCCAACTGATTCTTCTTGATTGTCGGGAACCGAATTCGGATCCTGTCAAACATTTTACGGTTTAATTAGATAGCCGAGCCTGAAGCAGGTAAACCAAGAGAATCCGAAGTAATTATTTTCCGATTTTTCGCTGTTAGATTTCGTACCACTCTTCGAGCTACTGGCCATTTGGGTCTCCATTTGGCAGCAGAGTCTAAAAAGGAGGCACTATCTCCATGGACTAAATTTAGAATTCTATGTATAGACCATTTACGCAATGTGGAGAGAATTCTTGCATGCTTTTACAGGGTAAGGCTTGGCACCCACATTAACTCGTGAAAATCCACGTTTTTATAAAACATATTATGGACAGCGGGAAGAATCGAAGTTTCAAATTTTCAAGGCATTAAAAGGATATCAAAAGTGATCTTTTTGCCTCTTGATTCAATTTAATATGAGAGAAAATAAACTGAGTAAGTGGCGTTATAACAATAATCGGGACAAACCAGAAGCTCACAACCATCCTTATCGTGGCTGAGGCTCACGAGGTTGACGTAGTCCGCATGGTTGCTCATATTTACAGACTGTTCCTGAAAAAATCCGCAAACTCAGTGTGCAATTCACAGTAAGCCTAAATATTTGCTCAACATTTTCCGACGACCTCATTCATGAGCCAACTGAACATCGTTCGAGTTTGCGTAAGTACCCAAGGATGGAACTTATTGATCCAAAGCCTAGTGGTGCATGCCAAAAAAAGCCAAGTCGTTAATAAGTCGCTAGGAAACATATTCCATACATACACAACATACAGTTGTGTTACATTAAAGGCGTAGAAATAACATACTTTTGAGTAGAATCTTGTCATGCCCAACTTTCAAAGCGACTTCTTAAATTACAACATTCGCTAGTTAGGGGGTTTGGAAAGCGTGATCAGAAGCGTGACATAAATCCGGGGTAATCTGGTAGAAATTACCCGATGACTCTCTTCTGCCTCACTATTCATATTGAATGCCCTAAACGTAAAGTTGTTCTGAGGTGTATTATACGAGTTCCAAACAGTTTCCGATCAGTGCCTTTCAACAATACTGTTCCAAACTGACTGCTCTCATCTATTTTCCCTTTCATCCGTCTTTAAAAAATTAGTCTACCTCAGTTGCAAACATCTGACACCGGTCTTCATTCTCTCGATTATGACTAGTTTTCATAAACACTGAGCTCGCAGTTTGCCTTTTTCCGTCAACCACGTTAGGTCCTCAACTCCACAACCTCAAGTAAATACCCCCAAGAACTGGAAAATCCTTAACCAAACGCAGAACTTTTGACCCGAGAGAAGTGCTTCAAACCCATTTTCTTTATGCTTGTAAATCTCTCAGAGGGTTTATTTGTGCTATTTGGTCTGTAAGGAGCAACAAACCCCAGTTAGCTAGGGTGAGTCACATATGTGAACTTTGAAACAAATCTGCCGCAAGCCTACGTAAGTGTCTGTGAAATATCACTACGTCTGGAAAAAGAAGCACATAACCTGACCAAATGTCCACAGGCACAATTTGGTTACATGGGAACTAATAAGGAAGTAGCGTTTACAGCAGCCAGTTGCTAGAAGTAACACTTCAAAATCAATAAAGTAAAACTATTTTCTCTATGGCTTTTTTAGTTCCAGAACCACCTTCACAAATAACTGGAGTTCGCATCAACTTACGACAGATCAAAGTGACATGGGATACATTCCCCGTTACGCCAAAATCCAAACGTGTTCCAATTACTGGTTTCCGAATATATTATGCAAAAAACTCAAATGAAGTGGATTTGAGTACGTGGAAAATTTTGGATGTGGGGCCGGTCACCATGGCGACACTAGACGTCGCAGATCCAAACTCAGAATATTTGGTCAAAATCAAGTCTCGTGGTGCAGACGGTCGGTATGGTCGAGTGAGCGACCCGATTTTAGTAGGCACTCACGTTCCAGAGGACACATCACAGATTGGTCGGGGCATCTCTGGTGGTGATAAAGGTCCTGGCAGTAATCGTGCTATCAGTCACCTATCCTGTCACTGGATTCCCGGTCTGGAAACTTCCAAACAAGGTGAAGCAAGTCTGAAATTGTATTGGCGACGTCCGGCCCAGTCGGAAGGACTTTATCAGTTTCAGGTACCTCCAAATGTCTCAACGTATTTGTGATTTAAACATTTTGTTTTATTCTAAGCTCCTAATATCAAGGTTGAATTAAAGGTTGCCGGCAGGTTGAAAAACCGAAGTGTCATAGCATTCCATCTGGGCACTGCAAGGAGCTACTTAGTAGTATGGGAAACACCAGAAAAGGTGACGACAACATCGGAAATTCTCCATTCATTGCGGCTGGTGAAACAACATTGAGTCCTATCCACGGCAAGGAAGGCGAGAGACAATTATCTTAAATTCAGTATGTGAGGTGAACTAAAAACAGCCTGGTTGCCCATTCCCAAATTGGGCCGAGCCATCATCTGTTCTTCATAAAAATTAAACGAACAAAAGGATGATCACAGTTTATGTCTCCTGATAGTTCACCTGTGATATTCCTGAATTGAGGGACCATTATTCTAACAGTAAAACAAGCGCTAAGAGCAGAATCAGCTTGGCTTATGTCTCCTCCATGGTGACCAATCATGTTATTCCCCCTCTTTCTAAAGTTTTTGTTCATACCCCAGAATCAGCTTATGTCTCCTCCATGGTGACCCCAGTTTGTTACCTGGAAGAGATGAGTGTAGTAGCTATCAACACCGGATATGCTGTCTGACGTGAGTTCCGAATTTAGTAAACAAGCACTTGTGTTGTGTCATTCGAAAATCTCGCCTCCTTTACTTCAGTCCCCATCCTAGGGGTGAAAACAGCATGGTTTACTCATATTACTGACAGTCATATTTGCTCAGAATGCAGAACATGTCGTTTGCCCATTCGAATATGTCTTGCAGATTCCTTCTTGCCTTGTAGGAAAAATTACAGTGCAAATGCTTTACATGAGATCGAATTACGGATAAGAAAACTAATTTAGTATACTATGGTGCAATAACACATCCCTTCCCTTATTGTAACATTGGGAATTGATCGAACCTTGATCTCCGGAACATTTGTGCTTTTAGATCTAATTTGTGGTGGAACATAAGTATAAAACAACTTTACTCAAAAATGAATAATTCCATGACTCGAATGAGCCACTCATCTGAGAAGAATTTACTCGTGAACATAGCCGCGATTTGTTCACCCAGTGTGAAGCGGATGCTCGAAAGTTAAAATAGCTACACTGCGCGTTCCGTGTCCAAGATTGCTAGCCCGTTTTTGTATAACGATTCGGGAGAGGTGCGTCACCGTTGACTTCTAACAGTTATGCGGGGCTTTTAGGATTTCTATCGTAGACTTTCTTCGTCTGGATCATTGTCTCTTTATCAAAACAATAAAGCTATTTCTGTTGAACCAACAACCAAAACTCGGAACGCCAACATAGAAAACACTTCCTACATCGCTTCGCATCAACTAACCGTACAACGCTAGCTGAAGTAATGTGAAATATACCTGATCAAGAAACTTGTTCTACATTATTTCCCCTCGCCTTAAAGCAGAATAAATGGCACCTCTGTCATTGCACCATCTGTCCAATAAACGGGACATCCAAGGCTCAGTGGATCACTCCCCGAATCTCGTATATTTTGGTGTTCTAAAACCCTGAATCATCGTCTTCTTTTAGATTTCATTATATTCAATAAACTTGTCAAAAACGATAACAACAGTGATGATAATAAGATGCAATCAAGCATCCATAACGCCTTGTTTGGAATATGCGCTGACAATAGTACACTTTTCCTTCCTGGGTAGGTCACCACAACGCACAATGCTTGACGAACCAACTTTGTTGTTTTTTTTGGCACAGATTCAGCTGCTGGGAATCAAATCGTACTCAGATGAAACAAATCAACCTCGTCGGGTAGTGTTTGATCCAAGAATACTGGAAGTTCCTTTGTCTATGCTTATTGATTCGGATTCGGATCGTAGGTCCATGGATTATTCACTTCCTTACCTTACCGGAACGGTGCCACAACAGCAACAGCAACAACAATCAACACAACCACAATACAGTTTGGTTATCGACGAGCTGGCTGCCAACACTGCGTACGACGTCCAAATCCGGCCGGTTTATCGAACATCCGCTGTGAGTTTAGAAGCTGATACACTGAGTTGGACAGGACGAACAAGCTGTAGAACAATGATGCAGCGTAAGTCTAGTGTTTGATGGCACAATTGTTTTGTCACCAAGAGCGAACCAACATTTACCATACGTAAAGAGGCTTGCCATAAATACTGAACACCACTCTTCTGACCTACCATCTAGTGGTAACGAAAAACCGTACATGGGCAGCAACATGCAAGATTCGGTGAATTAACAAACTTTATCTCCACTTGCAAGTCAATAGCTTACAAAGCAATACTTGAATATTTCGCTTTTCCTGAAATCTTTTGCATGGAAATGGTTTTACATTCAAACCCAACACGAGGAATACTTTTGACAGCATCCATGAAGACGAATGAAGCCTGTTACCCGTATAACGAATCGCTTTTATTGTACAAAGTGCGAAACGCGTCAAACAGAGCTCCCGGAATGAAATATTCGTGAACTGACAGTTGTTACTTTCATCTGCTAAGCTTAGCCGTCTAGCCAGGCACAAGCACCAGTTGGCACAATATGTTACAATGCACCCAACCAACTCCAATCTTGTTCAATCTGGCTGAAATTCGGTCGACTCATACGACAATTCTTTCCGCACACAGTCACTTGCGAATTCCCAGGCAATTCTACATCCTTCATCAGCAACCCAGACATAAAACATCTTGTATTCATCCGATTACTAAACCCATATTTTATTTTCCGCACCACATAAACGTTTGAACTGGCTTGCATTCAATGTCCGAAATTGCGTGCTGTTGCTAGATGGAATATGTTCACTAGACGTATTTGTTTAATGAAGCGTGCTCAGTAGTATTCTCATCCCTCAGAGTTATGACTGCCGTTCAGACTGTGAGGAAGGGATGTAGCGGACTTACTTGGATATATCAATGAACCTGGACTCATTGTATTATTTTAGCTACTTCATTTGTTCAAACTATCTTACACTATGGGCAAATTTGGATATACTGGAAACCCAGGATATCGAATTGGTAACCGACTAGTGGCATTTGGAACTGCGTTCAATAGCTCAGTTTCTGGGAGCGAACCGGCAGACTACCCGTAAATTCCGCATTATGACTAAATATTATTGGGAAAGATACGGGAACAGGTTTAATACGTTAGCCCTGTTAAATTTGTTGGAGATCACTCTCAAGTGGGTTCACGCATCATAGGGGGAAGCTGCAGAATGAAATGGCAAACTACCGTTTCCTCTTTTTTTCTCCCCTGTATGATCATTTACACCACAACAAATAAACAGGTTGCGCAGGTTCACCTGTGATGCCCGGAATTGTCGGCGTTTCGTTTGTGTTCGTCTGCGAACCAAGAATGTGGATGAGAAACATGAATTCCGGCAGTTACCCGAAAGCCCATGACTAGCGCACCATCAGCTGTTGTGTGAGTCATCCACCTGTAACCAACTTACTTCCATTAGTGTGGGAGTGCTATCAGCCGTAGTTTGACCCAGCCTCGCCATTGGTGGAAGGCAGTGGCTGCAGGTGTGGGCAACACACACGGCACATGATTTGCACCATTTCGAAACAGAGGTGCGCACGGAAGCATAAATTTACCATCAGCGTATTTCGTAGGTGCGTGCTGCTGTTCTCGAATTCATAGACTTATTCCCCGCCACATGAACCGGCTGTTACAAATCGTTTTCACACAGACGTGCTAATCAGAACTAGCATTTGCGAGGTTTCCTAGACGATTGCTTTCCAGCTTCTCGTTTACATTACTGGGACCAGTTAAGCGCACAATTTTAAGGATTAATGACCTCCACCTCTGGGCCCTGAAACTATTAAAATGACTCATACACGGATTGTGTTCCAAGAAATCATTACTCATCAGTTGATAGTCTATCGTTGCTTCAGGCCATAATGTGCAGAATGTGCATTGGTGCTCTTCTTCAGGTAGCAGCAGCGTGAGAGGGCGTCGAGTCTGTATAAAATGAAATATGGCTGTAAAAGACTGACGAAAGCTCTCCTGTAGAGCGACACTGTTTAAAAAAAGACATCTCGATAAGACACTTATCCATCCCAGGATACTCCATTACAAAGCACCCTTGTATACGTACCTACTAGGAACCATAGTTTTAATTTATTAAGCTGAGGGTCCAATACTCGACTGGATACCTGTAAGTAGCTGATTCTCTGCTGTCCGACTTCCTACTTGGATAAAACCTCGGACTCATCGAGATACTGAACGGTGTTGCTTTATTGCGCTTATTTATGCATCAAAGAACAGCAGATGAGAATCTTTAAAAGATTTTCTATCGAGGAGTGACCACCTCTTTGTCCTCCAAGTAAGTGTGGATATTATATCTTGGGTTTACCGTAAAATTTGTGATGACCAATGTTTATTTCTCTGCAGTACTGGGTTGCAGTGGTAGTCCCTTAGTGTGCTGCTCCCACCGCTGAGAAGCTTTGATGTGCACCCCACAAGATACCAATGAAGTAGTTCAGTCCCGAATGGCTAACTGTTTGGAGTACACAAGATGATCCACACCACACCCTTTTTCAGTCCAGATTTTTATTTACTTTTCAACACAAACCCCAAGCTCGAGCTTCCCATTAAGCGATAGAAAAGTTTTGTGAGCCATAACGTAGAGAAACTTACCAGAGCCTAATATAAAGTGCATTAAGAGACTCCTCGACAAACGTTGACCACAATTGACGTGGCACTCAGAGCTCCGTCTGTGGTGTTTTCCAGCACGTAGATGGCCGTCACTGAGTGTAAGCATGGTCACTATCACTTCTTGTTTCAAAGCATTTTAAAAATCTGGCTCGGGGTAGATTTTGGCTAGACGACCGACGAGAAAACAGCTCAAACGTATGCAGGCACGAGGCAAATAAGATGCTCAAGAAATTCAAGGGGCCAAGTAGTTGGAAAGGCTCGACAGGTGCTCTAGCTAATACAAAAAGAGGACCTAAAATTTTTTCTGGCGCCTTTGATTACCTTCGATGACCCCTGTCTCCGCAACATAGCAAGAGCTAGCTAACTTTGACAAGTGCCTAAGTGGTACTTGCTAACCAATCCGATGTAGGGGAGCAATCGAAAAACGTACTGGGTTTAGTTGGTTGGGGCCCGTATACTTATACTTAACCAAAGTCTAGAAAAGACTACTTTGTTTTTTGTTTACTGTTCTCAACCGGATATGGCCCGTGACCGGCCCAAGTGGCGCACATGCTGTCTGTTCCTAGAAGTACTGTCGAGCCAAAGTTCACCAACCCCCCATTTTAACCTGGGATTAAGTCAGGTGACGCTCACAAAAGACTCTGGAGCAATCCCATTGATGGATGCTTTAATTCATCATGATACTGGAACATGTTTATCTAAATGCAGCCATAAGTTGCAGACACCCTATTTTGATCGTCACCCAAAGGCAAGGGTGCTTCCTCACACGATTTACCCACCCTCCCCGTTGTTTTCTACTCTTCACAATAACTTTTTCCCATGAGTGTATGATAGTTAAGGCCCAGGATGTATTACCGATGGATTGTTGTCAATGATAATAATGGTTCATGAACAAGAAGACACTCTTAGTTGGCCAGATGGAGGAGTTTAATCATAGTTGGGAGAACCGTTGATAGTGTTCCTTAATTATTAGTGGACTGTCATGTTATTCATTTGATATAGCGAGGACGACGGACGTGGAGTATCTTGGCCATTTGTTGAGTCTCTGTTAACTAGCATTGATTTGACGGATAAATTAGCTTGGGAGGCTTGCACATCACTTGTTGTGGACAAATTAACTATCTTCAATATTGGTTCAACATGGTGAGGCTGGAACAAAGTGTGTGTTCATTTGAAAAAAATTGCTGTTTTTTTTTCGTTTGTGTTGTTGCTACATCAGCGTACACAGTCATGCCGAATTACCTTGATTTGTCGTACGACCGCCTCATTCTCCTGGATCTAGATCCACACCGGCAGCGTGCACACAACACCAGATTGGTCTCCACGAAAACCATCTGTGACTGCCATAATATGCGTGGGCATCCAGTTCCTTGATAACTATTGAGAGGGAAATCTGAGTCGAATTTTGGCCATTTCCAGAGCGGAGACTTATGACCCCGTATATGTTGGACATTCATGGGTTGAACACGCTGTATAGGAGTCTTTAGGACTAGGATTCATAAACTGTTCTCCGGGCTATGATGCTTCAATTAAAATCTTGTAGATTCTCTCTGTCTGAAGCTGTTGGCTTGTGTTTTCACGACGAGGCATAGAGCCTTATTTTACACACGAACTCCAGGCTTCATCTAAGTCAGCTGAGTGATTTATGGGAAGTATCCAGTGAGAGACACTGAACCAATGGAGGGATAACTGGTTAGTTATCCAATGTCTGACTGCAGCCAAACTACCACTGTCCGGAGCTGGCATGACCACACTCTTCTCGCAGATGCAGGCGCATCTGACGATCGATACTGTCGTTCACTTACTCGCTAATAAGTCTAATACGGTCCTACACCAGTTCAGCTGCAGCACCCTTTCCGTGCCCAGCTGTCATGCACGATAGTTGAAATGTTGCCAGGGTTGCCCTAGCCTAAACAGAAGCAGTCGAGAGGCGAAGGTTGGGTGGGAACCACGGAACTTCGGACTCTAACCAATGGGTCATCTCGAGCTGCACCAATAATACGCTTGTGAGAGCAAATGCGACGGTCGCATGTACTCGTATGTAGAACCTATCGCGAAATGCCTAAATTCTGGACCGGTTGTTTGATCACCTTGTCAATATGCTGGCTTCGGCGCATCGACGTGCGCTCCCAAGTGAAAACACAGTGCGAGAGCCGAAGGTATGGCACACCTTTCATGGTGAGTGCTTTGGATGATGGAAGTCTAAATCCTAGTTGACAGTTTTCGGACTCGTCCTTGATCAAGAACGGAACTAAGAAGCTATTGTTGCATTTAAAATCCATGGAAATGTTTGATGCAATGTGCTACAGTCTAGTAATACTGTTATATTGCCGTTATTGCTGGGTGGATTAGCGCCATTCACATGTGACTTTCGGGAAACACCACTGTTTATTAGTCGTGGATTTTGGTGCGCGAAATGTCTGGACAGTGACGCCGAGAGACTGATTTTACCTGTGTGGAAAACATCGTCTTCAAGATGCGAATAAGAGTTTCGATTCTAGTTTAGCGAATATATTAGCCCATAATCGTGTGGCATTCGAAAGTTCCCAGCTAACGCCTGAAATACATATTTACATGACCTTCGCGTGGCTAGTGAATTTCCACCCTTAGTTCTGATTTTCGGATAAAACATATAGCACATACATATTGATTTCAACCATCCACATCCTTGTAAACTTCGGTCAACTGTGTTGTCTTGAGAATCCGCCCGATGCTTCAAAATAATTTCTGAACTTTTAGCTGAACAGAGGCGAGGAAACTCTGAAAGTAGCCCATTGGTTCAGTTTGTTCACTGTTCTCTTGTGACTGGCTTGGCCATGTCAAGACTTTCATCTGGAATGGACCGTTTGAAGAATATTTTCATTACTAACACATTAAGGTATCATAAGGCGGAAGAGTGGTTTGAATAACGTATGTAAAAGAATGCGGCACTACCAAATGTGATGGTCAACACTTCAGATCTTACTCCACAAAAAACCTACCTTATGCTGAAACAGCCCGGCTCTTGTCCGGATTTCATCCACTAGTTTTGAAAACTTACCAGTAGTATGTACACAACTCAGTTGGGCTCTTAATCCGCATTTAGAATCATTTTGGTTTGGCTTTCTGGCTTTATGTTTTCGGAAATTTTGTTCGATTAGGTCAAATCAATAAGATATAATTGGACAAGACAGTTTATTTTCGGAATTCTACTGGATGTTGTTGTTGAACGTCATACCTCTCCATCCCATGTAAAACAAGACTTCACATCAAACATCACATCATCAAAACTACTGCACCAACTATTACGCAAAACACTATACAAAACATCCAACATGCGAGCGAAATTTTTCCCTTAAACATTCCGGCGAAAGCTCACAGACACACACGGGCCGTATGTATCTCGATGCGGAGATCACGTGATATCGTTACTAATAGTAATAGAAAAATTACTTTTTCGGTGGGCTACCTCTGAAAGCCTCTAGCATTGTTTCTAAGGAGGAAACGTATTGTATTTTGAATCTTATTTGTCTTCCCAGCTACAAGGTAGCCCATCACCTTGGGGATACCACATTTGACAATATTGACATGGTTCAGTTTTTACTGTTCCGCTGGCCACTTTCAAAAAGGAAAATCATCTGAAAGGAGTCAACATGACCCATTAACTTCAAAGAAAGCCAACTGTAGTTTGAAAGTACACGTAGGTGAGTTGTCAACTGGCTTGAACTTCGATCCATTCATCAGGTAGGCTAGAATGGCCTACACATGACCAAATGGTGGCGTTCAATTGAAGTATACTAGTGAATTAAGGCAATAATTCCATCGCAATTCAAAATTAAACGCCGTGAAACTTCCAAACACATTTTTCTCGTTCACCAACAATCATTGGGGGCATAATCTTCGCGTGTGAATTTCAAGCTGCAAGCCCGCACCTTGACGATTAGCAGACCTTCTTGGATTATTGTAAAAATTTGGGATAAACTGTGATTCCTTGACAACTTTGGATACAAATTAACAGAAATCACTTATATATGGCCAGGCCCTCATTAGAGCAAGATCTCATAGAGCACAATCGTGGCAGGGGAGAAAGAGACATTTCTGTTCTGCGAATTTTTTGTGCTAGACCCCCACTGATTTATTACACTGCGTGGAGATGAATTAGATTAGGTTCAGTTGTATTATAATGCTGCTCAGTAACGACTGTTCTAGTCAGCAAAATTGCCAAAAAATCTCGAGTACTCCTGAGTGACTATTGCTAACATTGTCCAACTCAAGTCCAGAACTTTCGCCTGGTTTCACACGATGATAAACATTTAGCGCAGTCATTTCTCTCTGACGGCTTTGGTTGATAGCTCAACGTCAGGTGGAAGTTGATTTCTTAGAAAAATCCAGTATAGTTGTAACTGAATTCACGTTATTTATCGGCTTCACGTTAGATGACAGTTGCAACCAAACAGCCACACCTCTAAATCCTTTCTTTCCTCGGCCTTTGTGCATTCTTATAAATGATGAAGATGGGATGACTGATGCGGAGCATCGCCGAAAAGTTTAACATCAAAAAACAATCTTTTATTGCCATGTGTATAGTGTGAAAACAACATGATTGAGGTCATCTTTAAAGTATCTTGCGTTATACATCAATAAAAATTCACCAGTTTAGCATAAAGAGGACAGTTACCAGTACGAAAAAAGTGACACTAAAAGGAATGTGAACTGGACAGGAGAGTACTTATTTGGCAGCAATCAATATTGTCACTTCGCCAGAGTATTTCCTCTGGCGTAGCTTTCGTGGTGAAGTGCACCAAATATTTTTACAAGGAGGTGATTCCGGCAGATCATATGATTGTCGTTTTCTTAGGGGGAAATAAACTTTTAGCTGAATGATCCGTTATTCCAAACTACACCCTCGCAGTGCTTCAATGAGATCGATGGAATTACTGACTCCCAGCTGAGCGGTTTTCCAAAGGATTCGCGTTATCGTCATCCTAGCTGAGCAACCAAGACTTAAGTAGGCGACTAGATACTTTCCAACCTGAGTGGCCTGCCTGCTGATATGTTGGAAGAACATCGCTTGGGAGAGGGGGCAAACTCACCCCTAGACTAAATTAATCTTCGAAGAAACTTCTGGCGCTGTTCTGGGCATCACACTCACTTTGAGGGTGTACTTAAATGCGCACAGCATCGTATTTGAAAACGAATGTGGGTAGACATGTGCATATTCATCATAATTTCACAGTGTGACAATGAAACAAGTGTTATAATTTTGGGGTTTTGCGATGTAGGTGTTTTGTTCATAGTCACACCAATCGTTTGAACGGTCATGCTCCTGTTCTGGCGTAATTATTCCGGTGGGTCCCCACCAAAGGGAAGCACTGTATGCGTCCAACGTGCTTTGGTGGAATAGTGGTTACACGCTCGCCTCGCATGTCAGATATCCGGGGTTCAAATCCCGGCACGGCCATTGGATATGCCCTGCTGCTGGGCTCTAATAAGAACGAAACTTGAGTCCAGTGCTCCCCTTTGGTGGGGACTCACCGGAATAATTACGCCAGAACAGGAGCACGACCGCTAAAACGAGGGATGGGACTATGAACGAAACAAGTGTTGCAGACTGTATCACATTGATTTCCGTTCTTTCTGCATCTTCTGTTTCAGCCCCAGTGCATGTGCCAGCACCCATACCGGTTGCGGCCAAACAACGGACTGGTCAAGTTGTCGTACGCGTATTCAGAGTCAGTGAAAGTCTCGGGCGAATCAGACGCTATTACTTGATTCTGAGCAAAACCTCTGCCCTGATTGACTTTGACTCAACTCCGGTCGCCCAGGAGCTCTACTGGCTTAGCAAGGTATGTCGAGAGGAGTCGTTAGCTTTTCTTACTAAAATGCGATGCGCCATCTCAGTTTGGGACACAACAGTTCATTTACGATTACATATTGACTGGTCATGGAAGATCTGTAGTCTAATTGCTCAGTCAAACCAACAACCCATTACTCGACTTCTGTCTGTCGAGCTCCAGCTCTCACAGCTTTGAATAATTCCGTGAACCTCAAACAGACAATAATTCAATAAGCCAGAATCTTGGGAAGACCTACCTCATATTCATATTGACTGATTGTAATCAGGGCACACTGGGTGGAGTAATATCAATATTCAAGAAGACATGATATTCGCAAAACCAAAGGTTCACTCCTCAATTTGATCCATGCCTGGTTCGGGTCTGTTCTGGTAATTTTCTTGACCTTGTTTGGTGCATTGTTTGTTTAATTTGTCAGCATGATTGCAAATGATTTCTCACTAACCAAAATGATACCAGTATGATTCGCAATAGTACCACAAATTGCGACGCAGTTTAACGCTTAATGCAAAACTTTTGAAAGCAGATAATTTGCGGATAACTTAGAAGTTATTCTATCCGAACCAAAATGTACTCCAAACTGCTACCGAATTTCACCAAAATAATCGTGCTAGCAAAACTTCCACACCGGGTTTAGTTTAAGTCGGTTCTACCCAACGAACATTACTTTCACTGGAACAGTGACGCACGCCTTCAAACAAACTCTGAGTTATCATACGCAGGTTCGCTCAATTCTCGGTGTCTTATTTCGAGTTGTACGCCTTACGAGGTAGAGCCTAGTAAGCGCTTTTCCTCTTAAATCAACTTATCGATCTGTTCAGCATCACCCAATCACGTCTGACGTCGTGCTTTTGGGTGATGCAAGCAAAACGAGTGTTTGTTTGTGCCTTCGCTGTGTGTGTGTGTGTAGACTCATTATTTTGGCGACTGAACAAGCACATGGGCTAACCACAACCATGGCAACCGAACGGTGTTTCAACAAAACAAATCCTTCAAGCGCTAGGATCATTCAACTAACAAACGATCAATTTGTCACTGTCATAAATAAAGACCTACCCTTTTGTAACCAACTGGCTACTGTTTTTTCCGAAACAGCACCACAGGTTAGTGTTCCAGTAGCACTGATATAAGCGAGAATCTTACTACGTATGCATTTTTCAAAGTGCACCTATTGTTTATATTATGGCTAGCTGTGCAATATGTGAGTGCATCTTGGACCGTGCGTAAAACAACCACGTGAAATTCCCCCTTTTTGCGCTAACAAATCCATGTGAAAAATAAAAAAAAAATATAAGTACCATTCAAACTTTCGAAAGACCCGGAATCATGGTTTAAATTGTGCCTGCAAAATTTGGAATACGGCATAACTCAAAAGCCAACACTTTGTAATCACATCACGCAATATAAAACCGAATTTTAGCCAACTAATATGCGCACTTACTTACCATCACTTTTAAGATAATCATGATTACGATAGAAAAGATCGATTTGGAGATGCTGTCTAGATATGCTTTGTGCAGGACAGCTTGTTTTACTCCGCGGGTATCTTAGGTTGTGAAAGAAAACAAAGATTAAGTGAACAGATTCCGTTTTTTCTGCTTCTAGACCGTCTTAGCTAATGAAAGTAATCTCGAGACTATCTTTGAATGATCGAGTTTACGATGACAGAACGCACTTAACATGGAACTAGCTAAGATTAAGCCAAATCTCCCATAACACAACTTGATGTGCAAACGAGTGCGTTTCGAAAAAAGACTCCATGCTCATTTTGTGGGTTATTCTCGGTACAGATTGCTCCACATCAGAGTAAATTTTGAAAACGTAGTACGAACCTGAAAACCAATATAGTGACCTAATAACCATGAGTATATATAACTGATGCTTGAAAGATTTGCACTTTTTAGCCGCGATTTTGTCCTGCCAGTATGGTCTGTTTATGTCAAAAAGCAGTCTTCCAATAGGAGATAATAAACAGCACGTCTTTCTCTCGCAGGAAGAAATATCAACCGTTCTTTCCGAGTCATTTCATACGACCAAATAGAAGTAGTTTAGAAGGAATAACTTAGAGGTTGTATGACACTTCGGCGTTAGAGCCGTCAACGAGGAGTCAGTCAACGCTGGATCACGTGAGGTTGTGACAGTGAAGTGTTGTTGGAGCTATATCCTGCTTAAGTGCGAGTTGCTAACGCTACTGATCGGTCGTTTATTGTCAGCTATGTTCCGTGCGATTGACATGAAGAGTTCATTTCCAAAAAAATAAGTGTAGGAATGTTCCCAGCAAATACGCAACAAGGTCCTGCAAGAACAGAAGAATTTTAGCAAAACTTGGAACTGGTAAATGATAAAAAGAGTTAAATGCGCCCAAAATCCCCTAACTTGAAGAGACGGTTTGAAGCCCCATCCAAACAGAGCCCCGTCCGCGGAGAAGCAACTCAGTTGAATAGCACCCAAAATGTTCTTTGTTAAACAAAACTGGAAATGTCTTCCTTTTATTTGGAGCAACCGTGACCTTTCCCTATTACTTGGCTGGCAACCACGAGAGCGTTCAGGGGCTCATTGGATTTACAGCTTGCGTGAAAGTGTAACCCGTGATGAATAAGAATATAAAAAGTGCAAATTGTTGTTTCTGTGATAATGTGAAGCTCCGTGTGCTGGGTAATCGCAGTAAGGTTTGTTCTTGACACATTTGTTGTATTTAGCCACCTCGCTTACTTTCTTCCTTTCGCAGCTTCGAGACACCCAGCAGTCTTGGGATCCTGATACATTTATTGCAGCCGAATACAGTCAGGAGGTTTTTGAAGAGTCGCAAATGGAGCTGCTTTTGAGCAATCCAAACTACTCTCGCTACCGGCGCACCGCTGACAAACGAGTCACGCTAGAAAGAAACGACAGCGCAGCCACTCAGTCAGACGCGCCTAATGCCATCGATCCTGATGTACTTGTCTATGGACGACAGTTAATTAAGGACCAAGAGTACAAAGCAAGTTTATAATTAGTAGAGTTTCTGAAATTCTTGAGAATTTGCGGCCTATACTTATTCTTTCTACATTAGAAGCATCTTCTCATGGCTGACTTCCTCAGTAGTGTGGGGTTTCAACGTATGCACCAATCTGATTACTATTGTACATCAGCAACTGCAGAGTGACATAAAGTTTCCACTTATAATAAAACCAAGAACGCAACATTATAGGTCGTAACAAAAATGTGGAGACTAATTAGAGTACGGTGGCGAACCAAAAAAACTGATTTAACCAATCCCTTCGTAAGTGTCCAATTGTACGAGCTCCAAAGATAACGGTATATTCTTTACGAACTGAACATTTTAACACCCATAGTTGATAGTACAAAATGATTGTAAATCTCTGATTCTCCCACATGTACACACTTTTGGGCTGCCGTATGGTTTGTGAGCTAGCAATACAAGGGGTAATTTTTGCAATCATATTTTGACAGTGGTTACGAAAATTGCTAGCTTGGAACCTGAAGAAAGCTTGGAAAAACGCTGGTTTGCCATTGAGAGGTTTTTGTCACTTTCGTAGCTTTGCTGACATAAAATTCCGTTTGCTTAAAGGCTTTTTTATTTAATACTGCATAAAGCCGATTGTTTTTACTTACGGATGAAAACTCAACTAAACAGCAAATTTTTCAATTTTCTGAAGTAAACTGTCCAAATCACCGATTGAACTATGGTGACCATCTTATTGTAACCCAAGAGAGATTATTGCATTTCGACATTTGTTTGGTATGGTCGGAAGTGGTATTCGACGTGGTGAATAGTGGCAAATGAAACAAATTAAATTTAACCGAAGCAGACATTGTTGTATTGCAGAAGACGGACAAGAATTTGTAGCGGTATCCAATTCCCTCTTTACATCTTGTGGGCTGTCATCAGGTAACACAACCTAACGCCCTTTATTTAGTCTACATTGCGTACGGAGATCGAGGTGTATTCATTCCTAGTTTTGCTTCAAAAGAATCACATGAAAACTTGGCTTGTCCCTGTTCAGTGATCAAGTCCTCCACCACTAGTATGCGATGTCCTTACTTTGGTGCTCTCAGTAAAGCAGAACCTTATCACTTCTACCTTAGATTCCTTTTCTATCGCCGTAACTCTCCGATTTGCCGCGATTGTTATCACCATTTGACAAACGTGTGTGCTCCTAATTAAAGTGAGTGAGCTTAAACTTACCAGTGAAATTTAATAGCAGAGTACATACCTGAATTGAGTAGCTACAATTTATGGCACAATGTAGGCCAATAAACACTTTCATTTATAGTTCGCTCTCACACATGATTTGAGTCATCAACCAATGGGAGATCACAATTTTTCCAGAGTCTCTGAGGGCAAGCTGGTATTATGGGCCGAGACTTTCCATAGTCTGACGCATAACTGAGTTACAAATCGAACATAATACAGACGACTTCCTGCACATCGTTTCAGCTCGGCATTTCGATGTCGTCGGCAGGCAAGTTTCATAAAAATGAAGTCCTTCAGCTATGAACATCCTTCGGTTTTTGGATAGTGTTCCAGCAGACCGTGAATACTTTCTCAGGGTTAGGAACTAGTCTTATGTACAAAATTTCGGATGTTCACTTACCGAGCTAGTTAACTCTTCATATAATCAGCTGACTATTAGTAAAAAGTGAATGGCAAAAGACAATGAAGCGAAATGCGAGAATTTATAAAGCAAGTCTATGGGGCCGAAAATAACTTTATGGATGGGGGTAGCACCATATGGAGAATAGAGCTTATTTATTCAACCCAACTCTACTCCATTGTGGAGATGTTTGTCTAAAATGCAATCTCTAGAAGAGAATCTGTACGGAACCTGGTCTTTTATCATCGTGTCGTCAAAGAATGGTAAACTTGCTCCATAAAAGGTGAAAAACAACAAGTTTGAAAGGGTTTGGTGGGTCTTATTACCCATAAAACAAATATCTTAACGGATCGGCAACATCGTCTTAGAATTCTACTGCAAGGCGACATTTACTACACAAAAACCGAAGTGCATTTTTTCAAAAGGTATCTCTGAGCTGCAGAGCTGGGGGTGTCCTAATCCGAGAAGAGGGTGTGGTACCATGACAATTGTATCCTTGCGTGTTCATTGAAGTCAGTGGCTTACAAATTTGTTTTTTCGAGAGACTCACCTGGAACGCAGCTAAATCTCTCGTTTGTGGTGTTTCCAGGCAACACGTATCCAGCAGCATATTCAGTTGCCTGGAAACATCACAAACGAGGGATTCAGCTGGGTTCCAGATGAATGTTTCGAAAAACCAAATTGGTTTGTAAATTTCGTGTAAATTGACTTGAAGTGGAACATAAGGTTGACGGAAACTCGGGGACAGCTCCTACCTGATGAGCCCCAAGTAGGGCGAAACCGGTCGTGGGCTGTCGACAAATTTTCAGCAGCCTTATGAGTAGTGCATTACAGTGGCTTACAGTCCGTACAAATATCCTCACTAAATTCACTCCGTAGGTGGCAACTTTATTAGAATTGCATACCAGTACCGAACGCAGTAACAAAAGTTTCCGTTTCAACCCTCTTCTTGGTGATGCGAAGTGTCTTGGTTTTTTGGCGAGGATGGAAGAAACGATATATTAAGGTGATGAGAATTTTACGTTACTGTTATTAGGTTTCTAAACAGAGGAGTACAAATGACCACATGCTTGCATAGTTATTGCGAACATCATGATAATAATGCCAACTTCAGTATTATTTCGTACACTGGCATTCGATCATGAATCAACAAAGTTAAATTTTTGGTCATCAGTAGGCTGTTTGGCATAATTTCCGACTGTAGATACTGATGAAGCATCAGTCAAGTTTTTCGACGTGGAGGCTAGCAAACAGGCTTGCGTCATCTTGACACATATGAATAAGCCAAATAGACTTGTTTGACAGTGTATGTGTGTGATCTACCCAGACTGAAGTTAAAACCGAACATTATGCAATTAAGAGCGGCATTCACCATCATCTAAACACTCCAGTCCAACAAAGTTGCTCAAAGTTGTCGCTAATGAGCATCAAGAACAAAAATGAATGCATCGTTACCCAAGGGAGTCGTAACCGCATTAAAGTTAAGAGTATGTCATCTACGATGGTTTGGTCGATAACGCACAGGTCATATGGATGTGCACTACACAAACCACAGTTTTGAAAATGAATAAGAATACCAAACTACCAAATTACGCAGAGTCAGTGCTTTTTTGACTAAACACCAGTGATTCTTGTGTCTAATTTTACGCAGAAAGTAACCAATAAAACTAGTTTTCACTGCGCAGATGTTTTTGTTAAATAAAGAGCCTGATGGGGTTTCTGTCCACATCGTACAGGCCTAATGTACTGCTCATAAGGTTTTGTTCAGAATAACTGTAGTGAAGTGATCAAATCCGACAGTGAATATAAAGTGAGCACCTCCTTCTGACACTGTATAATTTGCGTATCAGTGAAGAAAGGACAACTCGAATATATTGAACGAAAGCAAGGAACTTTCTGTCTTTTCCTCTCTAGATTTTGCGATTTTTCTAGGCACCCTGACCGGTTTGCATCAGTAGGTCATCTCTCCTGGCTAGACATCTGGCCCAAATCTGGTCGTTATTTCCCGGGTTCCTCCAAGATAACTATAGCTTATGAAACCGTCAGAAAAACTGATTGTAAATCCTTCTAGTTTTTAGTCTAAAATGGCTGAACTTACGAGTTACTTGTACATGCCTGAACTCAACTAAGGACCAAAAGATCACTCAACCCAAATTTACATTCGCGGTCAGTGATCCTACCTGTTACAGTTTACCAAACCAGCACAATCCCATCGAGTAGCAAATCCACCGTTGACTCATCATCCGCAAAAGGGATCGTATATCGTGATGTCATGTTCTAGACAGTCCTGTTCACACATTCTCTGTCCTTCATGGCACTGCTGGGTGGCGCCATGGATCACCTTCATGTGCGGAACGGCGCATTCTCCCTACTTTGCTGTTACATTTTCCTTGGATTTACGAATAACGCATTTCCCTTCATTGAATGGCAAATAACAGGTGATCCGTAATTTCGTATGAGACGCACATGAGGGAACACGAACAAACTATATTCAAGCCGATAGAGGAGCATAAGATATCCAGTGTGTCCGAAGCATTCTAAAAGCCGCCACATTCCTCCATTTCGTATTCACTTCGATTCCCACTTGAGACAACACCCTGAGGAAATTCATCATAGGGGTGTTGAAGTAAATACAAGTCACACCCAGTTGACTTCAGCTTACAAAATAAACGATTTTCCCGTCTCAAGAAGACTGACAGTAAACTGGAATAATTCCCAAGACAAGTGCTGTCTGCGTTTTTTGTGTGCTATTCCACTTTGACCTCAGAGGCCCGCCCATTTACGTAACAGTGACCAAATTCAGGTTTTGGTGGTTAAACCTATTTTTCCGCGATTGCTCACCTCAACACTGCAATCTTCCGATCAGTTCCATCGATTGCTGGAAATACTGATACAGCGGTGTGACCAAAATGAGACAGAGGGTTCTGGATCTCCCTGAAGTGCCTGATGAACTACAATGTTTGGGTTGTGGCATCCAGCCTTTCTACATAGCCTTAACCACTAACTCTCCCCTCTGACCTAGCTTCTCCAGACACGTTAGCTCCTATTCGTGATTCGATAAAAGCGATCAAAAATGCCGGTCTTGTTGTATCCTAGGGCCATTTTAAGTATAAGCGGGTAACTATGCTACTTGTTTCTTGTGTCCAGGTGAGAACAATGAAATCATCAAAATAGTTGAATAATTCAAAGAAATACAACCATGGTATTCAAGAAATGAATGCATCTGAATCTGGTCGGTGGTTTTCCATCCTACCTATCTGCTATTCGTTCACCGTCCCACGTACCGGTAAAAGGAGGAACAACTCCACGGAGTTGATTATTAGAAAGCAGTAACTAAACAATTGCTGTTTTTAAGAGAAAACCGAATATCCGTCTTCTTCTCGAACGCGTCTTCTTGAACTGTCCTGGACATTCATTGACTATCACACAATTATGAACGATTGCTGCAAAGTAGTTCTACAAATTCTGTGACCTTCCTTTAGGTCAAGCCACGTACCACTAGCAAGCCCCATCAGTAATATCCACCGATACACCGGCAGCACGTCCATTATTCGTCGAACTTTCATGTTCAGTTCCGTTCTCTGCGCTGTCTCCGATAAGTCTCGTAAATGCTGTGTTTGCCATGCTGACGACCTCCAGTAGGTGCACTGAAACGCGGAGATCCGTCAGGCCAGCCCATGTTTCATGAAACTCATCCGCAGAAAACGGGCACCCATTGGTCATCGACAATGCATCACTACCCACTGAGGGTGGTGTCTCCATCAAAGGTGAATGGAAAACGGGCATTTCGGTATCCTCCATATTAAGTTGCCTGGGGGATCCTGGCTGATTCAAACCAAAATAAGTACGCAATTACCAGCCTCCACTTCAATGAGGGTTCATCATTATAGCATACCTTGGTTAACCTGAGGTCCACAAACAATCAGCGTCTTATTCGTGGCACACCTATCCCGTCAAGCTTCCCACATACCGCGAAAATCCTCTAATATACACGAACTACGCCCAGATCATTATGCACCTTCGCTCTGTTTTACCGTGTGCTTGACTTAATTCTTTACCCGATTTCTCCGAAGATGTCGGACATGCGAAAATTCTAGATAAGGTAGTGATGAAGAACTTTTGTTACTCGTCAATGGATTTACAATGCGCAGAGACTAGAGTTCTTGCTTTTCAGTTCTATCTGGTGAGATCATTTTAGAGAATGAACCAGCTCTAAAAATGTCCCAATGTTTGGAGTTTCGGAAAGGTGCATACTGGCATCTTTACCAGCTCGATCACAACCTTATGAATCTAAATTATTCATGTCTCCTAAAATGCACATGTGCTGTTGTTTGATGAATGATGCCTCAACACTGGATGTGCTCATATACAGATTACCAGATTCCTCTAATGTGAGGTTCAAACCACCAGACTGATATCTCTATGTCTAATCATCAAAATGTCCAAACGAAACCCTTGTAAAAAGTAGCTTACTTCAACACCGTTGGCGAACCGCTTTTAACTGTATTTGTGATCTATTTGGCTAAGTTATGCCCATGTATATGATATGTAATATTTTTGGCTGAAATATAACAGCTAAGTGACCCGAGCACATCCAACATCACTTCGTTTGGTATTTTAAACAGTGAATGAAATAACAACCAGGGGGGTTGAAACCGATTTGGCATCGTAATTCAAAAGACTTGTTGCACAGCAAAATAATTCACGAAACAGGCTCCAGGGCACGTAGAAACTACGGTTAATCCGCACCATTTCATCAGTGCAGAAACCTATCTATCACTTAAAAGTTAATCTTAACAGTCGACCGATATCATGAAACCAATCGCATAATTTCGTTTTACAGTGCTGAAAAACTGGGATTTCGACAATTAGCCACTATTCACGTTTTAGTCACGCGTTTTTCGTGCACTGTCCGCAAAGGTACTCAAGCGAGAACAAAGGGACCAGTTGAGACAAGTTGTCAACTGAAGAGTGGCAAATCGGTCCGCTCTCTATCTCTCCCAATCCTAAACTTGTTTTTTCAGCAGGTGAGCATAGGAAGGCGGAGCTAAAATTGCGTCTGACAATAAATTATGCAACGATTTTATTCAAAATTGATTTGCTAATTTAGATTTCTATCGTTCATTTGGCTTAAAAACTTGATTTGAAGCAGTTTGTAAAATTTACCCCTGAGCTTCATTTTCCTTCCTTTCAAATTCTCAGAAGCGGTATTTCCTACTTTCATGGGAAGATACACACCTTGTTGTGATCAACCGCACTGGGTTTGGACTTTCGTAAATAGATTTTTCAGTTATCGACGCGAACAAAGCACCAAAATGCTAAATTCCAAATGATTTAATTATACACCTTTTGTGCCAATGAATAATGCTTAGAGGAAAACCTCGACTATTGAAGAATGTTTCCAGGCAAATCCCATGATAAACAGTGACTGGTTTGAGTACCTCTTCCAATGTTCTTCTTTGTAGCATGGATTGATCTTTTTCTCGCTACTTATGCAGAAAAATTAAAGCAGCGGACCATGTCATGACAATCCTTCTCACATGAACATGCTTTTCGGGTACCCACACTCTCCGAGAAATCCGCTCATTTACAACAATCAAAAGTCAGCACTGCTCTGTTTCATTTGACCTTGCCTCTACTAGCTTTCTACCACCTCAGTAAAAGTCTGCTGGGTATAGTCGCCCTGATTTAAGGCAGTAGCATGGATGATCTTTTTCTCGCTACTTATGCAGAAAAATTAAAGCAGCGGACCATGTCATGACAATCCTTCTCACATGAACATGCTTTTCGGGTACCCACACTCTCCGAGAAATCCGCTCATTTACAACAATCAAAAGTCAGCACTGCTCTGTTTCATTTGACCTTGCCTCTACTAGCTTTCTACCACCTCAGTAAAAGTCTGCTGGGTATAGTCGCCCTGATTTAAGGCATTCTGTAAACTGGCAATATTTATGTTGCTTCAAAGCTAAACCCTTGTAACTAACCTCACCAAAACTGGCTTTCTATCTGTCTACAGGCTTTTGTACTAGCCTGCATTTATCCGAACACAGAGCCGTCCTCGGCACGTTTGGGATCAAATTTCTACGCAGACAACGGGTATTCTACCTCCGAACAGCACACCACGCGAAGAATTCCCAGCGATGGTTATCAGCTAAATACAGCAACATCATCTAGCTTGTGTAGCGCCAGCAAATGGTCTGTCGGCTTTAGCCCAAACAAACTCATTTCCAGCCCTGATGCTGTTGTCCGTGAACCGGATGCAAAGGCTGGTGGTTCTTCCTCATCCACGAAAGCAACCGGCCCTGTAGCGCGTCCGAAAACTCACATCGCTTCTGGAAATGACATGTTCACAGTGTCTCTCATTGCTGTGATTGTCGGTTTGGGCATCGTGGCCATCATATGCATCGCAGTCGGTTGTGTCATGAGGTAAGTGCTGGCTAATTTTCCTATTTACTTGTATAGGTCATTTAAACTGGCCCTGAATTTCGCTTATGACTTTGACTTCCTTTCTCGTCCCATTTACCCAATTTGGCTTACTCCTCTATTGTCTGTTTACAAATACGCTTCTTATTCATGCATCTCGGACCTGTCACACACGGGTGAAATAAACAAACGTGAAATTCATCCCTTCACATCGGGTAATAGATCTCCTTGGTTCAATTTGCTTACGTTTTCTACCCGGGTATCGAGTTATAATCCGTGTGTCCTGTTTTCCGGTATATTTCGAAGAATGACCACCCAGGAAAGACTTACCCAAATATCCTCTCCAATTAAGTTCAACATAAAACTGTCTGGCAGAAACAACTTGTTACCCTCAGCAAAATGTACATTGAACTGGTCTACTAAGGGGATTCTCCCGGCGCTCTGAGTAATTTCTCCAGGCTTTTCTGGCATGTGCGTTTTCACTTCTCGTTTCCCAAAAACGTCGTATGTAAGAATTGCTTAAAAAACTACCCAGTTGCCAGCCACACAAAATTCTTTCTGGTAAATTCATAGTGGTCACATCTAGTCAAATGATCAAGCTTTTCAAACCTAAGAGAAAAACTCCGTATACTACTGTGGCTGGTGTGCAACTTTAGTTTCCTGTGAAGCTTTGTAAACTCGGATAAACGGAAACTTATCCTTTGAAGCTCATCGAAGCCCGTTTATTTGCTTCCACATGAATCCGAGATGTTATGTCAAAGGATGACTGACGTACTATGTTAGCTTAGTATAGAGGCAATTTAATGCCGAGTTTGCTCACTTACGATTTGCCCACCATTTCTCATAAGAACACGACTATCGCACAGGCAGTGAGTAGTATGGAGCATTCTACAGTAAGCTAGTTGTGCTATGTGTGTCCACTGATCAAGTGGAAGAGCCTCATGTATACCAATAACCAAACACCTTGTAGTAGTGTGAAGGAACTTGGCAAATTTTTTTCGCCGTAGATCGAGTTATTCAATGTTAAAAAACCAAGAAACACTGATCAGTTGTTTTCTCCACGCAAACGACTGAAATATTAATCTAGCCGTGATACAATTATTGGCTTTATTGTGGCCTAAATGAAGTTCGTAAAATCACCGGGTCTGTTGCGTTCAGTCTAACATACATGCATTTATTCTCACATTTCACTCGAACGAAATGCCGTATTTTTCGCGATTACATTACGAGAATTATTTGGTGCAATTCTAAGATTTATAAATCGAATTCCCTAGATTCGTTAAATTATTGGGACCTTCTCTACGAAACAGATCAAGCTGTGCCAGATCTATCGGGTTTTACCCCTAGATTTGTGGAACAATACCAAATCTTGAAAGGGATCGAAGTTTTCCAGCAGTTTCAACCCTACTGTCTTCCCAGGCCGAGGAAGGGGGTTTGGTTGAGTTACCCCACCTTGAGCCTATGACTCAAAAGCCTGACCCACAAGGCAGTGGGAGGACGTAGGGTTTTGTTCGAGGACCCTGACCCTAGCCTCTGACTCAAAATTCTGACCCAGGAGGCAGAATCTGGCATGTCAACTAATCTTCGTTCAGATGAAGTTTCTAGCTCTGTATGGGAAATTAGGTGGACATTTTTTTATAGAAAGCGATGAGAGAGGTGACTCAGCTTCCATCATATTGGCGTTTTTATGACTTTTTGGCCACTACGTCCTGTGCGGAACATAGATTCACGGCTGTTTGGTCTGTTATTTCCAGCAGACTGAAATCCAGAAGTGCTTCTAATAATTCAGCTTTCGTATCCAGGTTTTTAGGTTATCTCAACATGAGAAACAAGTGTAATATGTCTGTTCCTCATGGAAAAGTTAGGATTGGTTCAGCTCAATCAGCGCTCACCTAATGTACAGATGTCAGTATACGCATCAGGTTGTCAAAAAATAATAAAGCCTACCATTATTGGAGGTACTTTCTTAGCTCCTGTATATTTTTCAAATGATGCACCCCTTAATGACAGCAACAAAGGTGCGGTAGATTATTCTTTGCCCGAACGCCACTCAAAACGGCACCGTGCCACGTAAGTTTGGACCATCCTGTGGAAGCCGACCTGAAGCAAATTTTGTGTGATTACAACTTGTTTTAAATTGCTTATTTTTCGTACCAGTTCTTAAGAATTGACCTATTCAATCCAAGAGTACGAAACTTCGGTCGCCACAGAAACTCCGGCAATAAAGCCAGTCCTCCTATCGTAAACTTTCTTCGAACTACTGTGGATGTGACAACTGATCGATATATCGAGTTTGATTTATAGGTGAACGCATGTTTTTTGTCAAAAATTTCCCTTAAGTTTTCCATCAAGCCCCCGAAGAAAAGAGGAAGTAACATTTGGCAAGTTTACTAAAGTGATTCTGAGACACAAGCTTTTATATCACTGTTGTCTGCCTTTGCACATGGCATAGGAATTACGTTTCGAACTGAGCCAGAGAAAGATAATGTCAAATATGAACAGAAGAAAGATTTTCCTGTCTAACTTAAGATAAATTTTGTTGTGAAACTATGGGTTCACTTGATCTCTTAGGGCTAAGTATCTCCTGTAGAGAGGGTTTCTTTGGCCAGGTTCCACGTGTTTTTTCGGTAAAGGAGCGCTGCCATAGATTGCGTTGAAACTTCACGTCAGTGCTTTAATCTTTACAGCTTTTGTAGCAAAAAATACCGGTTCTAACGGAAATTTCTGTTTAATTATCTGATAAGCTAAATGCATCTGGGACTCCTAATTAAGCTATCTTGTTATGAACTGTGTATGGAGATGAAATGCGAAAATTGCTCAATATTAGGAGGTTCCCTCTTGATGAATTTTCTAGATATAATTTGATCATCTTAATCGTTAATCATGGTTGGTGGTTTGTTCGCTGACTTAGGCAGTTTGACTGGACAAATTGATTGTTAATAATACTGACACACACATTGCCTTCTCAGTTGTTCCGTATTTCACCCAGACTCTAACTTGGCATCCACCTTCATACCAAATAGTTTGTACCATTGGTCACCATTGGTCAATCAGTGATACACCTCTGAGGACCCGAAGTGATAATTTTCAATTGGTGGTGTCACGAACTTCCGATAAAGAGCGGAAAACTGTTGTCTTCTTTCCGACGCACCTGAAGGTTACAACAGTAGTTCCCAAACACAATTCTTGGTCGTATAATTTTCGTTTTGGCAAAGCGTGGAACATTGTGCTTTTGTTGGTCAGTTTAAACGGTAGTCCCTTCTTCATCGTATCTGTCACATGTGCGCAAGCCAGCAAGACAAATAAAATGACAACACAATGGCGATCGATTGTTCTGATTAGAATGAATGAGAACAAAACGCAGCTGTTTGCCGGACAGACATGCAACGAGTGTCCGTGTGTGATGCTGGCGTTTTAGCTTATTTCAGCCGAAGACTGGCAAGTGCTCAGAACTTAGCATTTGTGAGCTTGATATTAGCTTCATACCGGTCAGTTTTCTAGAATTATCTCATTGGGTTATGCTATCAACAGAAGCAGTTGAGCAATTGCGAAGGACACGATTACAGGTGGTGACAGTTTAATTTTAAATAGAACTTAACAAGGTTTCACACATGGGGTGTGAATGCGAAGGTATCTAAGCTGTATGAGTGCGTACTTCTGTGGTAGGCATAATTCTGGGCCTGTTTTGAACTGATTTAAGTCCTGTTGTTCACCAGAAGGACGATGTGCTAGTGCATTATGCCTCACATGCCAGTGTGTTACGAACCCTAAAAGGCTGCACACAACTGCACCCAGCTAACGCAACCAAGCTTCGGATATTTCTGCATACTGATATGGGATTGTGTTTCCCCATACCATCAGCAGTACTGATTGGATGACATAACTCACAGTAAGGTAGTAGTAACTATCTAAACAGGGGACATTTTCCCTCCTATCTTGACCCAAGGGGTTTTCCATGCTTAGCAATTTCTTCAAATCGAGGTGCGCTCAGACCGTGGAGTTGGCGGAAATATGCCTGGCTGGAAGTGTCGAGGGCTTATTTGTAGGCCGCTTTTCCACTCCTAACTGTCCTGCATACATCAAGAATCGTTTGCTCAAGTGCGCTCTACAAACTGCTGTGTATAGATACTAGATGAAATCGACTTACAGGCACGCTGAAACCGTTCAGCCTTCTTCATTCTTCAGGATGACTTTGAACTGAAAACTCAGATTGACTTAATTTAATAGCCGTCGTCATTGACTGATCTCATCACAAAACACTTATGGACTGCTGCCACTATATGCCACCATGATTCCAGCATGACTCCAAGATAGATTGGCTAACTGCTTCTTAAATTAAATATTTGACGCGGTTTGTATGCCAATTAAATCCCCAGAAATATGGGGTACTTTCGTCAATTTTATAGTGATCTAGATTTCCAAAAATAAATTTATGGTGTGCATCCAGATCAACACAGCTGTCCTTCGTCAGGGCGGGCTTTTTAAGATCAAGTGAATGTAACACGTGTTATGTAAGTCAGATGCCTTCAAGTTTAATTGCTCTATCCGTGGTTTGATTTGTAAAACCGATATGGAAGTTGGCAGAGTTGACGGTAAGGTCATTTCCGTGGCATGTCTCCGACTCAAACACTTCCTAACTCTGGGTCATTACCTCAGTTGGTAACGCGCGAACATAACACAAAAGCCTTCAATTTCTCCCAATGAATCTGATCCTTCTGTAAGATGCACTGCAAATAATTATCCCACAGTTCAGTTTATGCGCAACGTCCATGGCTATGTCCATTTCCATCAATATTCATCGTGATCCATTCAAGCTCACGAGCAAGGGGTTTACCTTCAGCCCCAAACTTTACTGGCCTTTCAAGCATCTCTACATTCTTAGCTCACTCATTGCCCAAGGCTAGTAAATTGTCATACTGAATAGCCGAATTACTCTTCACCTTATATCATCGCCACTTGATATACAAACGTGAGTGCTTACTCAATAGTAGCTTAAATTCAGAGGACTCGTGATGAGGTTCAGTAACCCGGGGCTTACCTTACTGTAGATGAGTGTGTAGGATATATAGTATATTGCTTTCCAGGACGAACTTCATCCTATCTCTACAAGTAAGTTCATTTGTTAGTGGTCTCAAACCAGGCCAAATAGTCCGCATTACCGTATGCGTTAATTCGAGCCGAATTTCAGGTGGATCTAAGGAACTAATATGTACAGTCAAAAACTCAAGCAGCAGGTTGCTTATTTTCAATTCCCATGTCGATCTCAGATACAGGCTTAATTGCACGAAGATGCTTGATTCGATCAGAAGCCACTCCATGTTGTGTTCACCCTGGTGCATGCTGAATAGCAGTCAGTTAGAGGTTCACAGCGTGCAGAGAGCCCACTAATCCAGTTACCAGCTTAAGACAATTTTCTGCTTGCGCCTAATCTAATAGTTGGTGTTTCTGCATGCATAGGCTGCTTATCTGCAAGTCATATCACATGTTATTTTTCCCACAGGCGTAGGAGACCGAAGACCCTGAGGAGTGACATGTCCATCACTCTGGTCAATTCGGACAACACATTGAAAACACCACTGATGAATGCCAAACTGTCGACGTTTAGCGAAACGAACGGGAATTTGGAAACTTCACAAACCATTTTTCAAGCTTCCGGTAAGTATTGATGACCTAGGTGATTTTCAATGTGTTTTACTCTATTTTCGGTCCGTCAACCTTGCCAGTACAAAGGACACCCTTGGGCCTACTACTTCACTGTGAACTTAGCTGGCATCAATAATTACAGATGCGAACTGGGGTAGCCGAATACAGACTGGAGGGTTTCGTCGAATACATTCTAATAAACCAGGGTTTTTGTGAACAATCTTGCGTTACTAGATTCCCGAATATAGATTTCTTGTTTTGAAACACAACGTCCCCCTTTTCGCCCACCTATGGCATGCCCTGTCAAGAACCTGACAATAACATGTCACTGAAACATCACCACAAAAGGCAATTTGACATACGGATGGCTAGTTTTTGGATGTTCGCTGATAAGTATGTGGCGCTGTTTGGTTGTGGGCGCCATATTATTCAGACTTGAAACTACATACGAACTGTACACAGCGTGATAAATAACATGAATAAAAACCTAAAAACAACACTAAGATTCTCCCGTACTACATCTGTTTCATACTGATTCTGTTTCACCTGATAAACAGTAGCTACCCACAACGGTATTCAGCCAGCTGTATTCCAATAAATCAAGAGAAGACAGGGTAGTGACACTAGCGTCTGATATTACATCGCAATACCCACTCAACAGTGTCGAACTCTACTTAACTATAAGCGAACTCATAATATATATCTCCTGTAGCGGTTGGGTAGTCTACGAACCACTGGGGATTTAATGTCCTCAAATAACTCATACACAACATACTAGGAGTCGGAGGTCAGTGACGGGCAGACAGAGGAAGAGAACACGTTAGGAAAAGAATTCCTCCCAGGACTCCGTATTTCATAGATTATCAGACTGTACCGATCGGTGAAGAAAAAATAAGTCCACCTCCCCCCTTCAGATGCATGAATGATTACAAGCGGGCAGATATTTTTCTTATCAACTGTGTTTCGTCTTGTGAGTGATGAAAACACGTATCGCCAACATAGTGTTCACCCATAAACCAAACAATAGTGAACTTTCGATTCTGTAGTGTCAGGCATAAATAGTTTGGATTACTGTTCAACTGAACACTTCTCATGCACTCAGCAGGTGATTGAATCCACCCGATTCGCATTTTAGCCAAGTGTAATTTACATTTTCTGTATGAACTTATGTGCCAAGTGTTTGTTGATGAGAAATGACTGGTTCGTCTTCTGCTTCGATTTGCAAGTATAGTTATAAGCGATGTTTCTTCCGTACAACAACGTTCCACGTTTCGGTAGTAAGAATTAGCTGAATCATATTGACATCAGAAATTATTTTGCCGCGAAGTTTATATACACCACTTCTGTAAAGAAATCTACCAAAATAGGGTAGTTGCTTGAGCCTTTTTCAAGAAGGGTCCTTAGTAACGGCCCTTTCAAAAAAATTCTGTGAAGCTTAGGGAATGATCAGGTGAGACAGGTAATTTCAGGCACCTGTCCCAAGGCCCAGTGCGGTAGATAGAGTAACAAAACAATCACCTTGATGCAAACCGCGTGCAAATTTTGGGTTTCCGTGAGTTTTTCCATCCCGCATGTACACTGTATACACTTTAACACTTTAAAATAGTTGTTACAATGCTATTAAATACTAAGTGCTTTCACCTGAAAGAGTTTTGCACAATCCCATAACTATTGGAGCACGCATACAAACCAATCAATCCTACTTATCTTGCCTACTTTGATTGCCCAAACCCGAATCTTTACCACCTAATTGAGGTACTGCAACCACTTACATCAGCAATATTAGCAGTAAACCACTCTGACTGCTATCATTTACCGGGTGTTGTCGGTAAACACACCAGGGCGACTGTCGAACGGCTGCCCCATTTTTATCTACTGATGCTTTTTCGCCACCGAAAGCCTGGACTCGGCACGAACAGAGTTAACCGTCCTGCGATGTGACGGTTTGTGCACCTCCACAACATTTCGAACTCTACTGGAGAGTGTACCTATGGCACCGCAGGATCCCTCATACTATGCAGGCCGGCGTGTGGTTTGTCCCTCTGGGTTTGGGGCTGGAACACATGTGGAGACTTATTCCTTAAGGAAATATATGTTTTCTGTTAGTTCTGCTCCAACGACCGCTGATTTCGAGCCAAAAGCTAGGCTGATAGCCTTCACTGTCTACATATTAACACTAAAAATTTCTCGGTCCATGTACAACCACGAGTCGCACAATTTCGAATAAACCCATGACACGTGGCCGTCACGTGGTACCATTAGCCGGGAATTCTGCTTAGAGCAGAGCGGGTAAGCAAAAACAATCTATAAATCATGATTCGCCTTCTTCTCTTTCACACATTCATTCTAACTCCCCAACTCACCTCGTCCCAAGCGTCATCTTTTAGGCGCAGTCTTATCGACTAGGAGATTCACTCAACACACATTCTCGTTAGCATTATTGTCTACGCTTAAATTGGCCACTACTGTCGTAGACATTCATCTGGCAGCTCTGAATTTTGCCTTCTTAAACAGGCTTCTCATACCTATACTCTAAAATCGCCTTCTGTTGTTCTTCCACCCTGACCTAAAGACCATCGTTAACTGACCTTCCACACTGTTTCCTTTCATTTACGTTTACGCAAATTTTAACACAGAATACCCCAAAGTAGTCCTCTGGAGACACTGAGTTAAACAGTCTCTTCTTGACACAATGCCCTTTGATAGTCAGTGTGATTCTCTTGGCAAGTTTTTTGACAGCATCCCGTAAACGCAGTGATAATCGTTGCCCGTTCACAATTTCAGCTTACACCCAGACAGATTGTATATCGGAAATGGTTTTGACAACACCTGGAGTGCTTTATTTCGGAGGACCAGATGCTCAGATTTTAAGTGTATATCGTAGATATGAATGCATGCTCAGGACTTCTGGGTTCAGTTTGATAGCCATCATACACTGGAATCAAAACTCACTGAGAACGCATGACACAGATGCGCGCCGCCCAAGAATTGCTGTGCAGTACCGATTCCGAAATGACGGAAACCGCCTAATCGCTAGGCCACTTGGTGCGTTCAACTCCCAGCTTAGGTGGAATACATCACCGTAGTCTATAAATGACGTAGATTAGTTACTTCTCGTCGCTAGTTTTCGAACTGCGGTTTCAGGTTATATGCTTGATGGTTACTACTTTCCCTTGCGCTTTTCGTACAATCCATAATCTCATGCTGGTTTGCACTAAAACGTAATGTCGACACTTCTGAAATAGGCTTGGCGTTGTGTTTGCGGAAAGAGACAATCAGCTACACATAAACTCTGGGTTTCTTGGCAAAACTTCAGAGTTGCTGAAAGCTCAGACCCTGCATGCTGGAAAAGACGGAAGAGGAGGCAAGCCTTGGAAATATCTAAAACTGATTCGCACTTCAGGCCCGAAAAGGACTTTGGGGAACAAGCAAAGCAATGACAAAAAGAACTCACCCATCAATGAAAAACAAATTCTGGATCTTTAAGATGAACACTTTTGAGGACATTTCAAACGGCCACTTGCAGTTGCTGAATCGGATTCCTACACCTCAACGGAACCCCAAAACGTGTAAACGTTGAACTAATGCTTATGTAGGTCAAACTACCGGGGAATTGGACATCAGAATCGGTGAGCATAAGAGGAGGATAAGCAAAGAATGGTCAAAGATGCGATGACGTTACGTGCGTTAGACACAGGACATTAAACGTGGACGTTTGTGGAGGGCACTGTGATTCACACCACGGTGACCTATAGACGAGGGGGTGGAAATCACCAAGCAACACAGCGTGAATAGAATTCGGGGGTGTTGAACTGGCAAGTATATGGAAAACGGTCTTAGATGGGCCGTGCTTACACTTGACTGTATGTGGTTGTCAGTGCACGTATATTCAATGAAAGAATAGGGGGAGGGCTAAAGATCCCAACCGGACCAAAGTTAACAGAATCCCTTTTTCTTACACAGCTATCGTATCAGTAGCTCACTCACGCAGACGGACGAAAAGTGAAAACGACGCCCAAAGGTGATCATCGCGTGAACCGAACCTAATGAACCGAACCCTAAGCTGGACCCAAATCGATTTCGATTCCCCCATCGGCTTAACACTTGGTGACACCCTGGCAGAGTAAATCCCTTGGCAAACACTCAGCACAGATTTAGCTTGACTTAGCTGATTGGTTCTATTTTCGTCTTAAATCTTGACCAATCCCGTAACCTAGTCGCTTGACCTGACGAGGCCTTTGTTTCAAAACCGAAACGTCGCCGACGGTTACTAAACCTTTCTGGAAAAAATGGGGAGTGTTTCGCGACGTTCGGGTCGTCTTGTTGCTGTGTTTTTGTTCCAAGATGGAATCCGGGTGACCCCCCCCCCCCCTGGTTGCAGACACTGAGAGATGTGGCAGCTAATCGATTTTAGGGACATTCATGCTGTCAGCTTCCACCTAGATTGTCCGACTGAGTGTTGAAGGTGTAGGTACCTCGGGTAGTCGTAGTTAGCCATCTCTGGGTCCATCTGTTCCATTCCTAACCATTACACAGTTTTGTTCAAATAGACTGATATATCTGTAAAGCAGTGGATGTTGCCATCAGTGATGGTGTTCTTATGCCTGATCGTCTAAGTATCTTATTTCCTCGGAAATACACTGACAACAGTGGCCTCCACATAGCCCTCCAAGGCTCTGTGCAAACTTATTGCGGTTTGAACACTACGGCTGTCCAGCCGTTCACTCATTCTAAACCGGAAGATCTTACCAGATGCTACCCAGCAATTCTAATCGAAACAGCGGGAAGTCTTTAACAATCCAAGCAATATAAACGAACTGCGACAACGTCATTTTCAGTCAAAGTATGGGCCATTTGTCAGCGTCTTGCGTGGCGATTCTCGTTCCGCTATAGCTCTACTATAAAACGAATATTTCCAAAATATTGTCAGTTCTTGTGTAGCTAAGTGGTTGAGTCAATTATGAGTTGTTCATATGCTATCGTCTCCACGCTTCATTAGCCTAGTTACCGAG